TCTGTTGGTTGGCGGCAGCAAGTTGACCAAGGCGATTGAGAAGGCCCTGGACGCTGTGCTGCCAATCGACGAATGGGAAGACAACGAGTTCGACTACGTGGGTTCCCACGTGAAGGTCACCACCGAGGGCGTCTACGTGGACCAGGCGGCCTACACGAACAGTCGGCTCTTCCAGATCGACATCCAGAAGGGCCATCTGGACACGGACCAGGCGACGGCCGAGCAGGCCATCGACAACAGGAGTTTGGTTGGTGCTTTGAGCTGGCTGGCTTCTCAGACACGGCCAGACTTGCAGGTGTCCGTTTCCTTCGCACAACAACTCCAGAAGGACCCCACTGTGGCGGATGTTAAATTTACGAATGCTACTGCTAGAAGAGCAATGGAATTCCAGCAACATGGCGTTTGGCTCCGCAAACTGGACCTGGACTCCCTTGAGATCCTGATCTTCCACGATGCCGCTTGGGCTAATGCCCTGCCACGGGACACGGGAGAAGACGATCCTGACTTTGTGCTCAGCCAGGAGGACCATGAGAAAGGGTTCATCTCGGGCACCCCGTTCGACAACAAGGACCGGAAGCCAAAGAAGGCCAATTCAAGAGTGGCCAGCCAGTACGGCCTTTTGGTGGCCCTTGGAGATCGCCGCTGCTACACGGCAGAGGGCGGACCTATCAGTCTTGTGGACTGGAAGTCGTCTGCGATTCAGAGGGTGTGTCGCTCAACCTTCACTGCAGAGACGATGGCTTGCACTGAAGGGGTGGAGAATTGAATGGCCAATATATTCGGTCATACATCCACTCACTGCTTAGCGGTAGGCTACAGAAGGTCGAAGACCTCGCGGGAAGGAATGTGCGATACTACTCCGATTGCAAATCCTTGTATGATCATTTACACAAGGAGGGAGCGACGAGAGTCTCCAGCGATAAACGGCTGGCCATAGACTTGGCTGCCCTGCGACAGTCACTCAGCGCCGAGCGCCGGGAGGGACGATATCCTCTCCACTGGCTTCCCACCTTTAAGCAACTTGCCGATGTGTTGACTAAGCCAATGTCCCCTGAGTCTTGGTGGAAAGCCGTGGAGAATGCTGTTGCAATGACTCTCCTAACCCCTGTACAATAGAGGAGAGAAGTTGCGGAAGCAGTGTCGATCCCTGTTTTCTCTTTTCTGTTTGACCTGCGAGGCGACCGACCGCAGGCACACGAGTCAAGCCCGTATGGGAAAAGGCGTGGAGGCCCGAAGCTCTGTGGGTTTCGGGGTCTGGTTTCGGTCGGTGGGTTGGTTGTGTCTCTTAGTGTTTAACACTAACCCCTAAACCCGCAAACCCATAAAGCTCTCAACCCCTAAACCCTAAGCCCGAATCAAGCTCCCCTACTTCAAGCGTGGCCATGCCGCGGCATCTGCTAGGCTGTCAAGGCTCTGTGCTCGCAAATCGGCGACAGGGACCTGCAGTACCTGGCTGCTTTGGAAAACCCTGAACCCTTTACCCTAAGGCTCCATAGTAGTTCCTTTTGGGGGTTCATATTTAGAATCCTATAGGGTAATCCCAACAAGGAACTACTTTGGAGCCTTAGGGTATTGCTTAGGGCCCTAACGCCTGCTTGCAGAAACTCTTAACCCTTCAGGGTTTGGGGTACACACCACATATCTGCCAAATAAACCCTAAACTCTGAAAGCCTCTTTTGCGCCTCAACATTTCGGGCTTGTGGGTTCGGAAAGGTCAATGTTTAGTTTGTTCGAGGGGATGTTCTGAACAACTACGCGGTACTTCTGGCGTCGTGCATTGTTCAGGGGTCCTGTATCCTTATCACAAGGATCCTCTTTATGCAACATACCTGCACCAAAGTGGAAGTGTCTTGGCCGTTAGTCACTAACTTGAAGCTGATCTATCAGATGGGGCCCCTGAAACAAAAGGGGTGTGTTGTAGTTCATAACCTATGAGTTTAGAGTTTGAGGTGGAGGCCCTCCTTGCGCTGGGTACTGCTTCTGGGGTCAGGACAACTCAACATCTCAATCATGTTGGAGACTTAATACTTAGAGTCGGGTTTGAGGGCCATTTGTACGATAAGGATAATAAGGAATCCCCAAAACAGTATTGGAAATTATTCAGGCCCCTATAATAGAAGCAGACGTCTGAGGTCGACCGAGGATTGGGCAAGTTGAAGCCCTGAACAGTGCACTCGAAACCCTGAGCAAGGGACTTAACTTAAGTTACCATAGTTTAGGGTTGCTTTAAGGATTCGAGAAGGATTTTTATTAAGGGATTTAACCTAAGGTGCCATAATAAGGAAACCCTTTTCCATTCCTATATGGTATATAGCTTAAAAAAAATTCCTCAAGAAGAAGCCAGTGAAACCCTCAACCTCTAACCATGAGCCCTGGAAGTTCAGAAAGAAGGGCTTCTGGCTTCCAGTTCAAGTAGGGCTTCTTCGGATTTGAGGGGGGTAAGAGTCTAGCATGTGCTACACCATGGAGCCGTACTTGATTACACCATGTCACGCGCACGACTTATATAACTCTTCACAGCCGTGCCAGCTGACACGGACGAGTTGTGCAACACATTTTGTCTTCGATTAGAATCACATCCCAATTCCTAGGTACGAAGCACCACCGCTATGATCTTCCTGCAGACTCTCCGACTGGTAGCCACTCCTTGCAAGTAAAGGTGTCATGACAGCGATCCCATTCTAAACCCTACTGAACGCCTCCAAAAGCAAGGCTGATGTCTGCAGATTCGGATCTATAGGGTTTGGGGGCAATCTGAAATTCGGAAGACCCCAACCAAAACATTAACGACGGCTTTGGCGTCCGAGATTCGGTTCGCTCCCTTTCGGTCAGAGTTTCGCCCTTGGCGTAGAACACCTCAGATACCAAGCAGAGGATTCGAAACGCTCGGGGTGTCGGGGTCTACGAGAGTCTTGTTGGGCTTAGGAACTATATGATATTATATAATCAGGCGCAAAAGCATCTCTGGAACGTTCCACAAAACATCTGTCTATCCGGATCCTCCAGGAACATTTGACAGCGTCCCACATCATCTTGGCTTCGTTCAGCAGGACATACACTCTGGTTCTGGGGATATTGCACAAGTATTGAGACTTCTGCCCTCCGTGTAAGCTGGAAATGCATCAGCCCATGCAATGCTCTGGCGACTACACGAAAACTGGAGTTCCTATCCATCCAACCCAAGCTCCCTTCACGAACTGCCTCCGGAGCTCATACACGCGCACACTGAGATGTATTATATCTTTACGTTTACAAGCCCCTCAGCGCTTGCACACTTGCGCGAAACCACCGAGGTCATCCGCGTTGTATCCACGGCCCTAAACGCTCACGAACCCCCCGAGACTCCTTAGCCCAAGCCCCTTCCAGTCTACACCGCCCCAACCCCCTAGATCCTTCATCAACCTGGACTGTGGGACGGACCATGCCACGATGAGGAAACCACAGACTTCTAACTAATTTAATTATAGCAACGGATACATGTACAGCTGGAACGTCGTCCAACTAACGTGCTTCGAGATCATACCCAATGATGCACGAAAGCATTGGAGGCACTCCACTGAAGACTGCCAAAACGAAACTGGAGCTACTGGCCTTTGTTGAGCAGAGAGCCCTGAACCCTATAGGATGCCTGCTGCCCCGAAGTAAAACCAAAAAAGAAGTCTCCAGGCCTCCCCGCTAAAGGTCGAGCCCTAATTGTACCGTAAACCCTGAATCTCCATAAGAGCTTAGGGCTTAGGGGTTTTCCCCTCCTATGTAGGGTTGAATTTAGGGTTAGGGTTACCCTATGCCCATAAACCTTAAGTATCTAAGGTTTAGGGCATCAACGTCGACGTCCAAGGCACCAAGGCGCCCGAGGGAGCCACGTCGATGCGCTCTACGCTGCGCCGGGCCATTGCAGCGGCACCAGTGGCTTTGTTGGGAACCCTCCTTTAAGGAAAGGTTCCTTAAAGGGTTCCGACAAGGGTCCTTTAAGGATTGAAGGGGTCTATACGGGCTTCGCAAGGGGTTGCAGTCGGTTTTACGGCACGCTATGGGTTCCGGGCGTCAGGCTTTTCGCCATTTATGATAGTGTTGTAGGGGGAGCTAGGGTTGAAGCTTGTTCTGTGACAGGGTTTAGTGCTTGTGTGTTCTCTGGTTTTAGCGCTTTGGGACTGACGGCTGGCACCTGCAGAGCTCGAAGTCTCAAGTCGATGTCCGTGTCTTCATTGAGTGACTCGTTCCAAAGGCTCCAAGCCCAGAAGGTCCAAAAGCGACCGGACTTCGGGCTGTTAACATTGTGGGTTTGTGGTAAAAAGGGCTGTGTGAAAGGGTTAAAGTGATGGACCGAAGATTCCGCAGGTAGAACAAGGACCCTAACAACGTGCGACGACATCGCCACACGTTCTGCGGGGAGACAGAAACAGAATCCACCGCGATGTGCACTTTCGCACCTGGAACGGTCACCGGTGTCCATAGGGTTTGGAGCAGCTGAATCTCAGTTCGAAGAGCCCCACAGACTGAGACCCTTGCGACCTCGCAGCCCGACCGAAAGACCCGGAGGAGCTGAGAAAGCTGAGACTGGTGAGACGGTGGTGGTGGTTGTTGTTCCGATGCTGCTGTTTTTGTCAGTGGTGAGCTGGCAGTGGCGAGAACACAGATACCACTTCCAGAAGTTGTTTTTCTTGCGTGGCGACAGCTAAAGCAGCTGCCCACATGCATAAGGCTGGCAGCTTTAGAAAGAAGAGGACTATAAAACTAAATTCGCAGTGGCATGTGCCCGTAGGCAGAACCGGAACAACGCTCGGACGAAGAAGCAAATCCCAATCAACTTGCCACTAGGAATATGTTCCACACATCTGAAGTTTGTTCTACCTTGACAAACAAAGCCGACACACACGTGGAACAGTAATAAGGATGACGATGATGTGATATTTCTAACGTACGTACAACTCGATACACGCACACATAAGGCATTAAGCCTAAACCCTATACCTACCCTATACCTGTTACAGCCATACAGATTACTGATTCCTCCTCTCTGCCTGGAGCTGCTCCTTGGCTTTGGAAACCTCCTGCACCGCTTTCCTGGGAGGGGCGGCCAACTTTTTCCGCTGAGGGGCAGACCCTACTTGGAGGTTCATGCGTAGTTATGCTTGGGTCATAAGTTTAGGGTTTTGGAAGTTATAAGTCCCCCAGGGCTGTAGTTCTAGCTACCCCACTTACAACCCCACGTATAACTACCCATGAACCTCCAAGTAAACCCTGAACAGGTGCCCAGGTTTCCAGGACTTGACACTCACAGCTCGCACAGTCCGGGTGAGGCGACAGGGACTGGGGATTGCGGCTTTGGGGACAGGGCTTGGAATTGAGGCGTGAGGGTCTAGAGTTCCAGGCTAAGGGTGATGGCCACATGAGGAACTCATGGGTGGTGAATGATTAACCAAATTGTAGGTTCCTCTTCAAGTAGCTTCCTGACTATGGGACGGCACCTACCACTTATCCCGCCCTAAACCCTCCACTTTGCATACCCCGTATTTAAAGCCCTGTAATTAACCCTTCTCCGTACGTTGCACCCTTATGACCCACTAAATCCTAAACCCTGCAGTACATGTGGCTACACCGAAACCCTAAACTCCTATAACCTTGAGCCCTTAACCCTACAACCTTTTTTGGCGCGCGGACTCGAGCTGTATGCCGGCCGGACCACACCTGAGGGCAGACGCCTGGACCCTACAACCCTAAAACCCAAACCCTAAAGTCCTATAACCCTCAGCCCTAAACCCTAAAATCCTAAACCCCTAAAACAACTCCCCCTAGGTTCCAGGCGGGAAGTCCCCCCTGCGAAAATACACATTACGAATAATGGCGTCGTAGTACAACATAGAAGTATTTTGATGAAGCAGCTCCGCGCGATGAAGCAGGAATTGGTTTTAAACCGGATCATGTGCCCAGTGTTTAATGGCTTTTCATGATTCCAGGGTTTTGAAGTTTTTTACGAGTTTTCCTGCGAATACAAGTCATCATGTGAAAATTAGTATTAATGCCCATATTTTTACAAATACCAATATTGGCTCTCTGTGTAACCCTATAACCCACAACCGATTCCGCCCTAAACCTTGTTCGGCCTCTCGGCCACCTCTCCCCAGCTCGGCAACAAGTCCTGGGCCAGGCTTCTCAGTGCTACTATCGGTTTTTTCCCTCCTACCTGGCAAGGACGAGGCCGACATGCTACTATCGGTTTGGGGTTTAGGGTTTTAGGGTGTAGGGCTTAGGGTTTATTACCACTTTCTATTAGAATTACAACTATTATGATGTTTATGGCTACTCTTGTTATTATTGTTATTGTTGTTGTGTTCTTACGGCCGTGAATATGATCTAGGGCTACTAACAATATTACTATACTGTTATGATGTTTAGTTTTGTTCTTGTTGTTCGTCTGATTGTTGTTATATATAACTATGGCTGCTGTGTTCTCGTGGCCATGGACCAGGAGTATGATCAAAGTTAGTATCATGATTGGCCTCCGGGGAAGTCAGTCGCACAGGAGCCAACGTTCAAATAAAGGACGTCGAGATTCTCCTAAGACCTTGGTACCCAACACGCCCAAACACGCCGAAATTCAATAATTGCTCCGGACCTTGTTTTCGAATACACCAAGGCGTGTTGAAAGGTTTAGATTGATTTGAGTGTCCAAGGGCCCGGAAAGCTCCACTCGACTTCTGTGTCATCCTTGGGTCTGTGGCTGTCCATACCCCGGCAAACCCTGGAAGTAAAGGTTTAGGGCTTAGGGACAAAGTCAATCTGAAGAAAAGTAGAGCCCCGAAGGGGCCCGCAGAAACTCCTGGTACAACCCATGCAGAGCTTTGATGCCACCCCCTTATTCTACCATCCCTAAACCCTAGACCAGACCGTATAACATAGAGGCCATCCTCACTACCTTTCCTATTTGGGAGTTTCCGAAAATAGGGGACCCTAATATAGTACCCTAAATAGTAGGATCCTTATTATGAGGACCCAGAATAGTGCACCCCTAATTTTCGGAAACTCCCAATTTTGAACCCGAAAAGCCTAGAGCCCCTCCAGCCTCGACCGCCTCGAAGAACTGGCGACCTTGGATACTATGTGGGGCCTTCATATGGGAGTTTCCGAAAATTAGGGGGTACCTTGTTTTGGGGTCCTTCTAATAAGGATCCTACCATTTAGGGTACAACATTTGGGTCCCTTATTTTCGGAAACTCCCATATGGCATGCAGGGCTGTCGAATCCTTGAGACTCTTTCAAAATCCAGGTGTTCGATGGAGCCAAGAGACGGCTGGCTGCCACGCGCTCGGATCCTTGCCGCCTAGGCGCTGGGTTCGAGATTTCAAGCCCTCAACTCCTATGAAAGAAAGGAGCGGGTGCGGCTGGATGGTTCGACACCTCCTTATTCTATTTATCTGACGTAGCAGGCTCAGCCACTGTTTGAACGGCTGCTTGCCTGCTTGAGGTGCAGGGATGCAAGGAGTTTTAGTTTTGGAGTTGTTGGGGCTTATAGGGCTTACAGTGAGCCCCATAAAGTTGGAAACCTGATTAAAGCCAAATAGTGCTGGGATTCCTTCTACAGTACTCGTAAGGATTGAGGCCGCTGGGTTTCCAACTGTTGGCCTTCTGCTGCATAGGGCGTAGGGGTGCACATATGGGTGGTTGTCAAAATTGTGGTCCCTTTTGGGGTACCCTAAATATAAATGACAGCCACCCATGTGTTTAGCGTCAGGGTTTTGAGAATTCCTCGGAGCCTTAGGTCCTCGAGTATAGAGGCCTTTAACAATTAGGATAGTGATTGAGGGCAATAAGGAACCCCCAAAACAGCACTGGTAATCTTGTAGGTCCCTATACTAAACGCCCCGTGAAAACGGAAACAATTCCCTCCACCCCAAAAACTCGACAGCCATCACCTCCCACTGGAAAGAATTCCAAGCATTCGGGATCTGGGGCTTGAGCAAGCCCGACAAATGAGAACACCTCAAGGCTAAAAAACCCTGACACAAACCTCCATCTCGTAACATCTCCGGCAGCTAGGGCTGGGGCCAACCGCAGCTTTTCACCCAGACCATCCACTCGCAGCCTGAGCACAAGGATTCAGGCTTCGGGCTCAGGGGTTCAGAGCCCTATAGGGCTTTTGGGAGTGTAGGGGCTTCGAAGCTTCCATGGGCTTCGGGGTGTCGGGCTTCGCCTTTCAGGGATGTGGCTGCTTCGCTTCGGTTACTACCTGGTACCAGAGGTAAGGAACGCGTAGGGAGAACCTTCCGGCTGATTCACGCTCCAATTTCCGATATGCCGCGTCGGGAAAACCTGCACGGCTGTGGGCTTCGCAGTTGGGCTGATCCTTTGGCCTTCAGGGCTTCAGGGTTTAGGGCTTCCGGGCTTGGGGTTCAAATCTTAAGTCTTAAGATTGGGGATGCAGCTTTTGCTGCGACTGCTTCCGAGTAGCATACCTCAAAACACCGACGCCTAAGGTCTCTTTGCAGCTATTGCCTTGGAATCCAAGACCCTACTGATTGAAGGGTTTAGGGTTTAGGGTTCCGCCCTCTACTTAAAGGGGTTCATAAAATGGTTCATAACCTACCATTTTGTAGGGTTTGGGGATTGAAGTGTAAATCCTGATGAATAACACCCCTTTCGTTCAGGACCAGCATATACGGATCTCTGCCATAATCTCTTCCTCCAGTAGCGGGGCTGATTCATCATGGGCACCATCAGAGTGGGCTTGAGGGTCTACGGTTTAGTTCTTGCATACCGTGGCATAGAAGCCTGATTCCCAAACCACTTCCTCTGAATCAATATCTTGCCGCGGTTCCTGCTATTTGGGTACATTTCAAGAGCCGTGGCCTTCATCAGGTTGCGACATTACAGAACTCCCAGACCCGTACATCTGCAAACCTCAAGCGCTGACACCTTGAGACGACAAATGCCTGAACCCAACAGCCCGGAAGCCCTAACTATACCAAAAACAGGATAGCGCTTCATTCTGAATCTGAAGAAAAACGGATTAAGCTACAGAAGCTCCTGTGTGATGTAAGATTGCGCAAGGTCATTTAAGGTATTTTCCCTAGTGCTGAGTTTGATGAAAGCCCCAGTCAGATGGAAACCCCCCATGCTTAAGATATCCGCGGGAACTTCAAACGATTCGGGCAGGCTCCCAAAGTAGGGTTTTGCATTTAGGTCTCCTTTTGTAAGGATCCTGGTATTTACGGGGTCCGAGTCACTATCTCTATGTAAGGGTCCCCCAACTTTCTGCTGAAGCTCTAGCAAATAGCACATACTAACATACTACTTATTCAGTGGCGGGATGTGAGGCCCTCTTGAAGCGAGAAACCTTACCCAAAGAAATCCTTGGGGAAGCTTGGAAAGCGAATTTTTGGAATGAATGTGCATAAGCCCCACAACCAAAGTCCCGCAACACCCAATCAAATCCTAGACTCGAGACCCCAATTTCGTGGAAGGGAGCTCGGGCTCTTCGCGTTGAAGCATTTGGGCCGGTCAGGTTGAAGCCAGGTTGCAGAAGTCCCCCACGTCGTCATTGCGCCGACGTGCACGCTGGGCATCTTTCTCGAGCTTATCCTGCAGCGCACACATGCGTGCGTGTATGGGTATAAGGCGCATAGGTAGGTAAATAGGTAGATAAGGTGTCAAGTGTTGTTAGTAAGTGATTAGTAGTAGCACAGGTACGAATTCTAAAGTTAGAACTACAACAGCTACTACTACTACTACTACTACTACTACTACTACTACTACTACTACTGCTACTACTGCTAGCACCAGTACCAGTATCACTACTAGTACTAGCATTTCTACTCGTACTAGTACTGTTATCACTGCGGCTACCGCGACTACGACGACTACCGCTAACACAAAGCGCCTATTCTTCTATACGTACATATGAGAACACACGCAAAGATTCGCGACAAAAACAATGTCTCCTTTCGTACATACTATACATGTTATACATAATATACGATGTATACATATGCAAAACTCAGAGTCCCACGTTCTGTGGGAAAAAAACTCAGGGTGCGCGACAGTTTTTCGGATCGAGGTTGTTGCGGTCTTCTGTCTGTGACCGTATCCAGAAGGTTTGTTCACAATGCGTGCACATGCTCGCGTGAAAATCCGAAATCTTCAGCCCTTGTGCACCGTCTTCGCAACATGGGGTCTACAAACCTCAATTCCAATTGCCAAAACCCGTTTCGATCGTGGCAAAAAAACCTATGTCGAGATCATTCGTTAGAGGGAAATCTCTCTTTCCATGTATCTATAGTGAAGTAGACAAATAGGTAGACTGGGTACTGCCCCCACGCTTCAACAACCCATATTTGGGTCATATTAAGGGCTCTATCTGTATTCGCAATATTACCCAGCTGTTGCAGAGTGGGGCCAGTATCAAACTTCTACTATATGTACATATGTAAAATATACATAATTATCACAAGAATACCATTTCCGAAAAGCAATCAATCATTCCAGCCCAATGCAGATGAGTACCCAGAGTCTCCAACATCCTACTATAATTTAGGGTATATTCCTTAACTAAGGGATATCGGAGTCTCTGGGTATAGAATCAGCAAGGGAGGGCGCGCCATGCGCGTGGCGAGCTTCGCAGGGCTCGCCGAGGCGCTCCGGAGCGCCTTTTCGGGTGACCTGAGCTTGGGCTCCTGCCTGGAGTTTTGACACTCACTTGGTACACTTCTCGATTTGTGCGTGTCATCCTTGCACAGGGGCCATGCTAATCTTCTCTGTATCGTTCCAATTTTATCGGAGGATTCCCTTCGGCCTGGAGTTTAGGGTTTAGGGTTTAGTTAGGGTTTTGTACCCAGAGAGCCCAATACCCCGGCTTAGGAATATAATTACCTTAAATCACAATATGAGCCCTCTCATGATTTAATTCCTTAATTAAGGGGTATCGGGCTCTGGGTAAGGATTTAAGGCTCATGTAGGCTTTAACATGTAGGGTGTAGGGTTTTCCATGATCACACTCGCACACGGCAGGGTGCAGGGTTTAGGGTTTACGATGCTATGCGGTGTTTAGGTTCTACACGGTTTAGGTTTCTATATGCAGTGGTTTGGGGTCCTATAGGGGGTGCAGGTTTCTGCATGGCATAGGGTCCTATATGGCATACGGTTCTATATGACATAGGTCTTTAAGGTATGAGGTTCCGCATGGTATAGGGTTCTATATCACTAAGGGTTCTTTATGACAAAGGGTTCCTGCGGTACACTTCTCGATTCTTCGCATGGGGTTCTTGCTAGAGTTCTATATGCCTTGGGGTTCTGTATGGAGATCGGGGTCTGAGTAGAGTTCCTGCTTTTGTCATGAGGAAGGGGAGATAAGATGCTCTTGTTGGTGGTTCCTACCTGTCCCGCTGCTCTCGACGGCTTCACAGGATGCCTGCCTGCCATCGTTCACATTCGTTTCTGCTTGGCTTGCTCTGAGCACGCTTATTAAATTGGATTTCTGGCTATCTCGCTGTATTCAGGGCTCAAGTCTTGGCGCTCAGAGCTTCGGAATCTGGGCACAATGGAAATTCGAGAAAGTTCGTGATGTCTATCACTATCATTCCCAATGCCTCCCTGGCTTCTGCGGCTTCTGTTTGATGCGACCTATGAGCCTTCCACTAGCCTCTATACACCCTCAACCCTAAGCCTTGCACGAACCAACCTTGGTCCAGCCCTTCGTGAGATAGTCATGCAGACTTCGGGCCGGCTCTTCCGGCTTGTTTGTAGCACTCCTGACACGTTGAATGGGAGACTTTGTACAGGAACCGATTTTTATGGAAAGCATCCAAGGCAGATGCGTACACGACTTCATCGATGTCATCGTGCCAGCCCATCAGCTCCGATGTGTCGTAAACTGTATGCGCAGTTTTGTCCGGATAAGTGGGGTTTGCATTGTCAAAGTCAGAAGCCAAGCATGGTCCGCCAAACATTTTGTGAAACAAGCAGATGGACAGATCCCACATCTCCGTGATACCAACAAACGCAAACCCATCTTGGACTCGCCGCGCTGCTTCCGCTGCATCCTCGCGGCTAAGATTTGTGAAGTCCATCGCCGGCTGTGCGAATTGGTATTCTGACACCAGCTGGTATGTCATGCCGCCTTTCAATCTCTCCGCCGTGTCCAGAAGCGAATCATGCGCCGGCGCTGTCCCTGGCATCCCACATCCCTGCTGCGCCAGGGTGTCCTGAAAGTGATAAGCTGAGAGTATTCGCTGATCAGGATCCCGAAAAAAGCCCACCAGGCGACCCCGCTTTGCTGTGTAGTTGCCAATTATCTCGTGCTGGACTACACTGCACGAGAACTTGTCTGGGTTGCAATACTTCGGGCAGCGGGGCCAGAAGGTCTCCTCAAAGCAAGCGCCGCTCAGGGTGACGTTCGCCAAAGAAGGGCAAAACCCTGGCATGTGCACGATCGCATTGAGGAACGAGCCCCCGCATTTGGGGAAGTGGATCCAAGTCAACGGCTCGGCCTCAACACTAGTTCATGGGTTGGGATAGGCTTAAACATGGACATCTTTACTCCTTATTTGGTGTATACGTACTTACAAAAACTGTAAAAAATGTTATCCAACTACGACCAAAGAGCAGCGCCTGGGCCGTGAAGGACCATCTTATGCTGTAGCAGGGAGGTGGATTCGGACGCCAGGCCGAGCGCCGCGAGGACCAGGGCCGCGAGGACCAGATATGAAGCCATGGATCTAAACGAGGGAGTCTCAGCCAAGCATGGTAGGACTCCAACGGTTCGGTTGCGGAAATCTCGCGGAAAGTATAGGGATTATCGGATGAGTTCATAGAAATCAACTACTCCGAACTCTGCTGGCTTTTGGGGGGTTCTGGATGGTTGAAGGTTTAGGGTCAAAGGGTCCAACGATGTACCAAAATAACTGTGGGGCCTCAAGAGTGTCACTTAAACCCTTTTGGGAGTAGCCCTGGGATGTCTTCAGGTTTGCTTTTTTGCTGACCACGAAATATCTAAACAGTTGTCCTGAAGGTTTTCCGTAAACAACATAGGGGCCTATGTAAGGTATACCGTATGTAGGGCCCCTATACATTAAACTAGAAACTAGGATATGAAGGATGTGGTAGTTTACGATATAGTTGCTCGTGGTGTTGGAGGAGTTTCGGTGTTCACTCTCGGATTTGGAGGTTTACGGGCTAGGAGATTCAGGATAAGGTAAACTGAAAAGGCTTTGATTGCATCTACGGTTTAAGGCCTTCGGGCCCTCAGCCAAACCATGAAGTTGACATGGGCCGACGTGCAGCCGCAGCGCAGTCCACGTGCTGCTGCCCGCCGCATGCGGAAGGAATGCTCCTGGAATTGTTTTGTTTGAAGTGTGAAGATGTAATACGTGAGTATCCATGAAGGTAACTTAAAGGTAGATACATAAACGGTCAATAAGAGTTTAGGGTTTAGAGGTACTTTTGCTTTCAGAAGGTCTTTCGATTTGCTTCCGACTTGTATTGTAATTGGTGGCCCTGGGGACTCATTGAAATACGATTTCACTTGGCAGGCTGTACCCCAGCGCTATAGAAGCAGGAAATCGTTCTGCATTCTTCTGTCGGGCTTCACGTGGTCCACCGACACTTTTTCGCTCTGGGAGGCGTGCAAATTCCATGATAAGTTCGGGCTTTTCCCAACCGTGAACATGCCAAGCCAAGACTCAAGCATCGTGAGACGCGTACATTTCTCTTCTTGCAGTAAGCTCACAACTCCGGACAGTTCCTCCAAGATCCTAAGCTACCAGCTACGTGCCTTCAACTATCAAACAGTCTTGCTCCGGGCCTCGGCAGCAAGGCGCTCCAATCGCTCGGCCAAGCGTTCGAGCTGCTTCTGGCGCATCTGCTAGATAATTGGTAGTTGAAGGGCAGCCCACTGTCTTCATGACTCTATAAGCCCTAAACCTTTGCAGAACCTTAAACCCTAAACCCGGAGAGGAGAATTCTCAATTTGCCACCTAGTCTACAGAACCGGTCTTGGGCCTTCGGCTGGAACTAGTCCAGATTCGCAACCCCTCAAGCTCCATGAGATATACATATGTAAGTATATATATATATATTATATAATACATATATATATATATAGTATATACATTAGGCCGCAAGTCTTAAAGCGGCTAGCCCTTACAGACCTAAGTGTTGCGCTATATCGGTACATCATAGAGCCTTGGGATGATGGCTTGCTCTTACCACGCCTTCTCCGAATCCTCCGGCAGATCGGCCATGACCCAAGCCCGGCAACCTTTGCAAAATCGGCTGGGGGTTTGTGAGTTGTGGCTTGGGTTTCGGCGCTCACACTCGGACAATCCAGGCGAGGCATATGGTTCGGAGTCTGACAACGTGAAACGTTCTAAAGGATACAGTCATATGACAGTTTAAAGTTTAAAGGTGGGTGGGGCTTTCGCCTGCCGGGTTCAGGGGTTTGAGCATTTGGGATTTCGGAGGCATCATATCTGAACAACTTTGGGGTGCGATGTACATACTTCACAGATGAACACTTCCAGGAGGAACAGGGTTGAAACCATTACGCTCCTGCTGCATGCCTGGACCCAAACCACTGAACACAGGGGCCTCAATGATTAGAATCGGGCTTTGGGTCATGTTGTCGTAGACTAATTTTGGGAGTATAAGGACCTCTTCCAGCCCCTATGGCAACCCTAACCCCTTTCTTTTACTACTTCGGGGCTCCGTTGGATTTGCCCGGCGCATAGCCGCTATGCAGCCCGCCAAGACCTCTGAATACAAGGGCCGCAAGAAGTAGAATAATGCCACATTATAATCCCTGCATAGTCATAGTAATACTAAAAAACCCCAAACTCTATTTAAACTATTGTAGTACTACTAGCCCAGTACAGTCACTGTATAGCTATTGTACGTACTAAGAAGCCTCAGGAACTTTTTGCTTGAACAAGGGAGGTGCTTGCGATAAGTCAAAAGGTCTAGGATTGCAGGTGGGTGAGGGCTCAGAGCCGAAAAGTTGCCCAAAGGGTCCTATGTATCTGTATAGTAGGGTTTCTATTTTTCGGAAGTACTATTGGGATCCAGGGCAGTATCCCCCATAACAGTACATAGGACCCTTGGGGTTGGTCCTGCCCACACTTAGAGCCTAGGGTTTTGGGGCTTTTGGCCTCCAGAGTTTAGAGCGACCACACACACAAGATCCTCAAACCCACAGTGGCAGACCGGCCTGTGAATAAGCCTCATACGCAGTGTCTTTCTAGCTTGAAAGTATAGAGAAGTGCGTAGGAAACAGCAAAAGTGTACGGATAGGGAAACCCAGCAGCCCTGGCGCTTCCGATGCCCACTGATACATGCTGAAAGCGGCAGTATGGCAACTGTTTGTAAATATTACTGACGATTTCAGGATTGGTCATGGCTGCAGGCGTCTTCATTGGTGATAGGGCGTGTATTACCCAGAGGCCCCAAAGTAGTTCCTTTTGGGGATTACCTTATAGGATTCTATATATCAATGAACCCCGAAAAAGAACTACTTTGGGGCCTCTGGGTAGATGTTGTTATCAAGCTGGGCCTCTGCTCGAAAGCGATAGAGCTGCTCAGTGGCATGGAAGAACGAAGCCTCGAAAGACATCACGTGGAGGGTTTAGGGTAGAGGCTTGCCGATAGGCAGCATGGTTTTTGGCCGCTGTAGCCTTTGAGGAACTGTTCGCTATGAGAGCAACATCTTGATCACAACCTGGTCATAGCATATAACACTTAACCTTGAAAAGGCCTGCACCCTCGTGTTTGTCGACTGTATGACTTTCTTCGAAGGGGGGGAACCACAAAATTCTACGATGCTGATTACAATGAGCCCCATAGAGACGGCACCCTGAACAGGAAAGCCAACGTAATATTAGGGTTTAGGGTTAGGGTCCTATCGAAGCTCTAGAATACAACAACCACGAATATGCTAGCATAGATCTTCAAAGAGCGATGGAGATTCGCAACCACAATCATCAAGGCCACGACGACCAAGACGAGCACCAAGAGACGGCCAAGAGGAGATCACCAGGACGGACAGACAGACAAACTGCTTACTAAACCCTTTTGAACCCAGGCTCTGCTCCATCATACTAAACCCTTTTTTCCACAGGCTTGATTAGTGCTCGCCCTAAACCCTAAACCGTGCCGGATCCAACCACCTCAACAAAAGACTCTAATAATAATCTCCTCGGCAACCTGCGAACCGAGGGGCTCTGAAGCTTCCTCTCGCCGACCATGGCAGATGCTAGTGGCTGCCGGTTCTCATAGGGTTCTGAATTTGGACGATTGAAGCTTCCCCGAGGGCTTTTGGGCTTGGAAGTCGGCTTTTGGAGCTATGTCTTCTAGGTTCAGGGCTGTTCAGGGTATAGCGGGGCTAAGGAGGCTCGGGTCTAGGAGTTTATGGCTTGGGGCTTTAGGTCTGTAGGCTTTTCATGGGAGTTTAGGGTTCGAGGCTCAAGGCGTTCGGGTGCTTAGGTGGTCTCAGTCGGCCGGGGTTCCTGAGCCAGGGAGGCTCGCAGGAAGCAGCTGCAGAGCCGAGGACCCGGAACACCAAATCGAAGTTCTTCACCCCAAACCCTTAGAGCCTTAGGGGTCCTTTTCGGGTTTAGGATTGACAGGAGGGCTTAGGGCACGCTTTGGGGTTTGGAGTTTGGGTTTGGGTTTCGGAACCCACACATGGGTTCAAGTTTAAGACTCGTATGTCGTATGAGGTTCGATGGTCACCACCAGCGGCGCCGTAAGTTTTCGGCTCAAGGGCTGAGGGTAAGAGCTTCAGGATTTAAGGGTTAGGGGTTCATCCTCACGAAGTAGCCCTCAACTCCCACCCTAAACTCCGCCTCGTGAAGCGTCTTGGCATCTTAGACCCCGAACCGTGGCTGCGCTGAAGCCCAGTTGTTTTGTCAGCTCTTCGCCCACCTCCATTCGACAGGCCTTGCATGCAGGAAGGGAGCCAAGCTCCATGGGTGAGACGCTACTTTCGATCTTCCTTTAAGCTTGGCGCCTGGTTTTTGCGAGGTAGGCTTTAGTGTTTGGGCTTCAGGGGTTAAGGGCTTACATGATTACCACTGCTTGAGTGAACTCACAAGCATGTGTACATTGCGGTTCATCGTAGTTCACCGTTCCTTCCAGGAATGCTCCAAACAAGGATGCCCGAGCCTCCACTTCCCCCAACCGCAACCGAGGCACCCCAATGCAACCCTAAAGAGCCCTCTGCTACAGGTGGCACGACTCAGAATTCGAGGCCGAACACCGTGACGATGCCTCAGCGAAGCTTCGAAGCTTGGACGATGTGAAAATGCCCGCAAAGTGATGAATCGAGTCGGAAGCAACAGTTCAGCCATGCAGGTATTATGAGAGCCGCCGGAGACTTCGTAGTGGCCGTAGTGACCGTGGTGCTATTCGGAGGATCGTAGTTGCGGTGGTATTGGTGGAGTGGTGCCGGTGCTGGTGATGCTGGTGTTGTTGGTGCTGGTTGTGGTGCTGGTGCTGGGCGCCGTCGTCGTGATCGTAGCAGTGGTGATAGTGGCGGCGATGGTGGTGGCGGCAAAGTGGTAGCAATCAGCAGTAGTCTCAGCGCTAGTGCCAGTGGTAGTGCTAGTTCTAGTGCTAGTGCTTGTGGCAGTGGTCGTGACAGTGCTAGTACTAGAGGAAGCAGCAGGGCAAGTGTTAGTGTGGTGATGGTGGTGCCGGTGGGGGTAGTGGTGGTGGTCGTGGTGGTGCTGGCACCGGCGGCGGTGGTGGTAGTGGTAGTGGTAGTTATGGTCGTGATGAAAGTCGCGGTGGTGGTAGTTGTGGTGGTAGTGACTGGTAGTGGTAGTCGTGGTAGTAGTGGTCGTGGTTGGTAGCAGCTGGTGTTGTTTCTTGTTATTGTTGCTGTTGGTGTTGTTGCTGTTGTTGCTGATGTCGAAGCTTCTGCTTGAATTGTAGTACTTAGCACCAGTAGTTCAACGTTGTGTCACGCAGGCGCTGCGACCAGATTTGGCAACTTGCGGCAGTGCTTGTCCAAGCAGCAGCTGTCTGTCGTCGTAGTATATTAGAAGAAGAGGAAGAGGAGGAGGAGCAGGACAGGAAGAGGAGGACGACGTGGAGGTGGGGGAGCAGCTATGGGGCTTGGTCGTGGCAACAGTACAGCCAGTACAGCCGTGCCACAATACATGGACTTGTTCACCACATCTTTGGACCTCAGCTGACATGAAACGGCTTGGGATCGAAGACGAACCAAAGCCAGCAACAGTCGTCTGCCTTCGTTAGAGTCCGAGTTCAGGGTCCCCAGTGTATTGTCACAGAGCCGAAACGTTACCCAACCCACAAATCATTGCACGAAGCTGTTGCCAAAACTGCTCCGGTTCGGTCGGTTGCAGAAGTGTTTCCTTATTTGTCTGTAATGTCGAAGCCAGCTGGAGACATTAGCCTGCCAAGGGAATCTGGTTCTCTGGCTCCCAGGAAATCATACAGAGCTACTGCACGAAGCGTGTAACAGCCCGAAAGCCACCTTTTTTGAATCCGTACTGAACCTCAACCCCCGAACTAAACCCTTAGCCATGTGAATCTTCCCAACCTCCTCACCAAGAGCCTATCAGGAACTCTGAGCACCAAACCTATATCCTACAGCTCCTACAGCCCACCACAGAAACGCACCACCCAACCGTGAATCCGTAAAGCAAACCCGTCAACCAGCAAGCTCCCTAAGTCAACTCAAAAACAAATTGAAAAGCCCTGCAAAATCACCTTCGACACCCCCCAAACCCTAAACCCTTTTGAACACAGGCTCTGCCGATCAGCTGGGAAGCAGCACGGCATAATTTCACGCAACCCTGCATCTAACAAACCCTAAACCCCCCAGTCCCCGTGTCGCAAGAAGCCGGAAGCTTTGAGGACCCGGCTTCTCCCGTGGCCACACATATGTGTAGACCTGAAAGAATGCCCCCATTTTCTAGAACTCCCTTGAGCCCTAGAGTACCCTTGTACAGGGGCCCTGTATTACCACCCTAAAGTGTCCTTTGTGACTTTCGCATGCGGATTTGGGTTCTCGATTTTCCAAGCAAGCCGATGATGGCGAATGCAATGATCAAAACAGTTAGGTGAAGGTTTTGTGGTGTGCTGTAGCTGTAGTATAGTCAAATATACTTGTGACATTGGGAAGTGTAGCGCTGCCCAGGCCACGTTACGTACATGTTAGTGTACTGGGAACGGTGAGGGTCTGAGGCGCCGGAGGAACTCCCAAACTCACTGCAGTACCAGTCTATCTCGACGGTATCACACGTATACCTTACGCACAATTAGAAACGGGTTTCGGTGTAGAGTCTGGTATACGATATACGGACGACAGGCGGCTTTCAGCGCTACTTGCCTTTTAGTGTGGTCAGACTGTGTGTACAGTTCGATCATACATATATTCGGGAACTCTAAAGACTAGCATTGATTGCAAACGATTCACAACCCCATGTTTGGACCTTCCCGTCAGAAGAGGGAAACGGGACCTATTTCAGGCATTCACGGCTTCCGGTTTAGGGTTTCGGCTGAGGGCCTACGATTATGCTCAGGGTGTGCCGAAGGAACATGGTACATAGGCAGTCAGCGGCTTTGCTGCTGGGAGCACATGGGTTTGCAACCTTCTTTACGATGCTTTTTGTTCTGAGGTTTTGAGTTTTGCGAGATTTCTGGCTGCTACTCCTGTTGAACAAATTTCCTGAACAAGAACCCAGTCTTTGCCAAGAGACCCCGTCGTTCCCAGCGTCCCAGAAGCAAGAGGTAGCTGTGTGTAGGCCAGCACCTCTGCAACTGGAGACCGGGACAAGGATCCTCATAACGTACAGTGCCTTGAATGAAGAGGGCCTTCACGCAATCGATACATTATGTATATGTATATAAAACTAGATATAGGTATAGATAGGGAGCGAGACTATTACAAGATAGTTTTCTTACTGATGATTCAGACCAGTAAACCGAATAACCCAAGTTTTGATCGGCGTGTAGTACTAGCGCGAAGCGGCGTGGCCTGCCGATTTCGTGGTTATGGGACATGCCTTTCGAAAGTGGAAGACAGCAGCAGCGAAGTGAGCAGCTTGCAACCTCAACAGCAGCGGCAACAGCATGTGGCCTCAACAGCAGTAGCAGTAGCAGTAGCAGTAGCAGTAGCAGTAGCAGTAGCAGTAGCAGTAGCAGCGCGCCGATGTAGTAGCGGCAACGACAACGGCAACGGTAACAGGAAGAAGAGTTACACCACCAGCATCAATCAGAAACCGGCACTTGCAGATGGTATCATCAGGATCTTGATCTTCCTCTGCTGCCCCTCTCCCGTGAAAGATATTCCCCTGAGTCAGCATACAGCCTGAATACACCAACTCAAGAGTTCATGGACTTACATTAGAAACACCTTCTCATTGAATCTATGGAAATCCTGGACAAGGCAACGTCTTGGCACGTTGAGTTCAACTTGCCTAAGGGCCCCTCATCTAGAAGAGCCCTGCTTTCCGTCCAGCCCCTGATGCGCTCAATGCCCTTAACCAGACTCAAACCGAAGGCCAGTACTTAAAAACACCGAAGTTCGCCATTCCCACCAGCCTTATGGACTGAGACCCTAAGTCCTACAAGCACAACCTCAGGAGCTGACCGTTTCTCTGCATGATAATGCCTCGGCAAGGCAGGGTTGAGATTGGGCACAGCGCTTTAAGTGTCGAATAGTTCCTTCATGCATGATCTCTACAGATTTGAAGTGCCGCACCACAGCAGACCGGGGTCCCATTGTGGAAACACCGGAAACCGCATGAAAAGTCTTCAGTCCGCGGGTTAGCACTCTTGCACGAAGCATGAGGATTTCAAGGCTCAGCACAGGACTCTACCCTCTCATCGTGCGGGGGTGGTTAAGATCAGCCGCAAACGTCTGCCAAAACCTACGTGCCTGGATACCTATTCAGAAACCTTGAAGCCGGACAACCGCTGCACTGCACTTCACTTGATCACATAATTACTCCGCGAAGACATTACAATTCTCCGATATTCCTGGCACAAAGGCCGCTGTAGCATCCGATAGAAACATAACAGAGGCCTCTCCTGTTTGTCTAAGTGCAGGCAAGAAGCATGATACTACGTACTTGAAGGGCTTCTTCTGCTCACTCCTGGCTGCACAGAGCACACTCTCCACAGCTCTGCCAAGCCTTTGGGCTTTATACAAAATGCATGTAATAGGTCCAAACCGGACTTAACCTTAATGTTTAGATGTATACTTTGCCTCCTGCATGGCTGAGTACGCGAAGCAGGGAGTTAGCAGATATACCGGTGAATTCATTCACGGCTTTCAGTGAGTTTCAGCTTCTTACAGCATCAACTCATTAAGCCAATTTTAGGACTCCCACTTTCAGTATGTCCTGGCATTCTTCATGATTACTAATTTCAGCCTCAGGTGGAGATTCATTAATTAGTAAGTTGCAACAAGCCAGGGAAGCGACTTCCGGATACTTACTGCGCAGACCTGCGACACTCCTTTTTCTGACATGCAGTCGTCACTTCGTAGCTTCTGGAGGTACTGGTTGTTGCGAGCCTGAACGGAAGCAACGACTTCGTAGCCGCCTTTGCTTGATTTGACGGCCGCCAGGTCCTTTCGCCTAATGAGGTGGACCTTGCATGCTCCGGGTTTGGGGTTTAGGGCTTCATGGGTTCAACGCTGCTTGGCTGTCTTAGACGAAAGACAAGTCAGTCCAAAGCCGGATGATTGTGAAAAATCAGGGACGCTCGAACCTTTCATGTAGAACTGCGTGTACGTCTCAAAAATAACCTATAGAATCTACAGAACCATGCGCAAAATTGGATTGCTAAAGAAAGGCGGAAGAGGCTGTTGGGAACGGTGCCTGATGCATTTGGTTGTCCACCAACAGCTCGGCAGTTTTCCTCGGAACAAACGGATCAACACAGTGTGCGATCCATCTGGTTTTCGAAGGATTTATGCAACACTTTACGCCATGAAGGAAAAAGTATTCCACGCCTCCCAAGGTTCCATGCTGGAGTAAGCCATTCTGCAGGCACCCACTGCCGCACTCCATCATCGACAAAACGGACGCCGATGCGCCGAACACCCACCTTCTTCGGGTCCATGGATTCAATAATGGCTGGCAAGGCCTTCTTGCTCTTCTCCCCGTCCATCTCCTGGTTTGAGGATATGTGGATCTGTATATATATATATATATATATATATGTACATATTTTTTGTTTTATTTTTTTTCTCTCTCTCTCTCTCTCTCTCTGTTTCTGTTTCTTGGCTTAGTTGAGGATTCTGAGTCTTTGAAGCAACGGGTTGTGAACATGTGAAGACATTTAGTTTGTTCATGTTATTCGGCACTTCTGTGTGCGGAGTCCGTCATGAAGATTGGGAGTCCGCGTGCCGACGAGTTTGCACAACAGCAAAACATGGCAAAACCATCCACTCCCTCGCTTGCACCTCGTAGTGGGAGGACACCTGGGTGCCCTCAGTGACCGAAGCGGCCAAAGCGTGCCAGCGGGCAAAGCGAGGATGGAATGCAACCAGCGACACCAGTTCCTGTGCGGCCATTCTTCTCTGCAACTCGCACGCACAAACACACACACACACACTCACTCACTCACTCAATCTCACTCACTCACTCCCTCTCGCTCTCTCTGTCCCTCTCTCTCTCTCTCTCTCTCGCTCTCTCTCTCTCTCTCTCTCTCTCTCTCTCGCTCTCTCTCTCTCTCTCTGGCTGCTCCAGGAAGTTAAGCTGTCCTCAACGAGGTATAGGTAACTGAACTCCAACATTCAGGAGGGGGAGAAGGAGCCCGAAATGTTCAGTTGCTGATTGTGATCGCCGGAAATTCCCCGATCCGTGTGGTGTCGTGAATTCAGAAAGAACATGGTCAAAGAGCATCGTTCAAGAAGGCATGAAATGCAAACGCAACAAGGTCAAAAGGAGCTTTACGACCATGCTGTCTTTCCATCGGAGGTCTCCAAGCTCGTGCTTCTTGGGAGGCTTTGTGAAGCCTCTACTGGGCTCGGCTGGGCACGACAAGGGCAGCAAAAGGAACAATACACCGAAGGAGAATTCATCTGAGAGAAGCACACTACGCCACAGCTCCAGACCTGCCTCCGGGTGGGTCTGCAAATTTAGTTCCAAGTGGGTCGCTTGTTGGGCTGCTGGGCCATAGCGTTTTACACGGGATCTGCAACACATTGAACAATCACTACTCAGAGAACAATACAAACAGCGTTCAGCGTTTCAGCGTGCCATTGCCAGGGCCAAGCGGCCTAAGTGCAGTCAGCATCTCTGAATCGGCCCAGGTTGCAGCAAAGCGGAGAAAGGACACTAACTACTAAACAAGCCACGCCAGGTTGCTGCAGGTGGTCCTCCTTGCCCACAGGAACTTCTGGGCAACAGGGGCGTCCCTCTTTTTTATCACACCCCAAGCCGCAAGACTCTACTGTCGCTCGAGGTGTACACCACGAGAGGAGTGGCATTGTTCTGAGCAGCGCACGGGGGTTGTCAAGAGAAATCTATCTCTCTCTCTCTCTCTCTCTCTCTCTCTCCTCTCCTCTCTCATGCATTCACATGCTCAGCCCATTCTTGTATATGACGTCAATCTAGTTGACCGTGGTGTTTCTCCTGGTTCGCGGAAATAGCGACTGAATTTTGCGACAGCGTTGACCGAACGCAGCTCTCTCGACAACGAACAGCGTGGAAAGCAGTTGCCGTGCCTCCAAGTCGTCCAAATGATTGCTTCTCGCCACCCAGGCATCAAACGCCTGGAAGTCTTCCCGCCACGACCTCAGCTGTCCATGATTTTTCAGTAAGTTCCATCCGGAAATCGCGAAACATCACGAAACCTAAACCTGCCACCTCAACCAGCAGAACTACTGAAAAAAAACTTAGTAAGTATGATTCCCACGTTCATCTGCAGCATCTACTATAATCGTCATATGTCCCATACTCCCCATGGACATGGGTTGTGTATTTGCAAGCATTGAAAGGCTTGCAATGCGCACATGACATGCACATATGCACATACATGCACCTTCTTCACGCCGAATGACACAAAAAGACACACCTCAAGCTTAAAGTTTAAGCACAAAGCCTAGATCCTTTGACCTATGCTCTGCACTTATCGCAAGCCGGTAACCTACGATCTTCAAGACCAAGAACGGAAATCACAACAAGGAGCCCTACAAAAGTAGGTTCTTTATGGTTCCGGTATGCCTTGGAGCTACGCCTTTTCGCTTGCTGTTCGCACCCAAGAGCCTCAGCTTTAGGGTTCAAGTTCGACTGTTAGGGCGTGGCGAATTGGGTGAGGCCTCTGGTTTAGGGTTTAGGAATTCACGGTTCCTAAAATTTTTACAGTGTTTCGGGATTAGGGCTTAGGGCCTCTGTTCCACAGACGGATGCCTGAGGCAACTCTCTGGAAACCAGAACCTTAGGTTGACCCACCTCCTTCACTCCTTTAGCGTCGGGGGTCTGCTGCGCTTTGCCACCAGCTGTTGTGCTCGTTTTGGCACAGCGACTATGGGTTATGCGCCCTGAACCCTAATTGCGTAAACTCTAGACCCCAATGCCCTAAACCCTATCCGATAGACATCACGCAGCTGCAGCCAAGCCGCAGCACTCGAGGGCAAATGACCATTGATGTAGCCCAAGGTACCTTGGTTCCGGTTCTAAAAGGCTGTGGAGGTCAGTCAAAGGGGAAAAGGAGGGACCCTCAATGGGGACCCCTACCCTATATTGGGCTATATAATGGGTATATAATGGCTATAATAAGGGTATATACCTAGGGGTCCTTATTAAGGGTCCCTCCTTCTACCCTTGGAGTCAGGGTCTACAGGGTTTAAGGTTCTAAGCGGGGCTCTCAAACTCGATTCACAAGGTTTTTCAAGGGACTTCCTTTCAGGCGGCCCGGTTCAAAACGGCTTTGGGGTTGGTAAAAGGCTCATAAAACACGATTTGTGACAGACACTTCTATTTGTCTTGTGTTTGCTGGAGATTGAAGGTAAGAGTGCTGATTTGAACACTCTCGGTTGTGGGGTTCGGTGTCTTACGGGCCTGAGATTGAATATCCATAACACGGACCGGGTGGTAAGCAGTTGAGTTCCGTAAGAAGAACCGGCCCCGTGACTTGGGATTGCGCTGAGTTCGGCTCCCCTCTTGCGTGTCACTACTTTGCGAATCGCATACAGTGAAAGTGGCCTGATTGCAATCAGGTTTCCTGTGCCTATTCACAGATGGCCTTGCAACACAAACAGACTCGTCCGGAAACGCCAAAGAATGAGAACAACTATCAAGTGTGTCGAGCTTCCTCGTGTACTAGCGAGACTCACCTGCATCAGTCAGCAGAACCACATTCAGGGAAGAGGAGAGCTTACCCACACTTTCAAAAATCTTTGAGAAATCCTTATACGGTGAAGCAGTGCATACCTTGGAACAGACTATGGCTGCACGTGGGCTTACGGTAACTTGCTTGACTACGTGCGGAGTTTGGGAGTCTCTGGGTACGAAGGATTTTCTGTCACAAAACCAAAAGCTGAAATACTACTAGGACTGCATAGGGCTAACTTAGGTCATGCTTGCGGCCGCATCACCAGCGTCAGCATCATCATCACCACCAGCAGCATCATCATTATACTCCTGGTTATCCTCATTGCATCATCCGCGAAAATCGGGCGCTTACAGGTTTGTGATATCTGTGCAACAGCAGGCCCGATGCGATCTGGGATGTGCGACATCAAGGATATATGACATTGTTTATGATGATAAAGTATAGTAAGGAACGCTAGGCAAACATGTTGGTAGTTGTCAACAGGCAAGTATAGTAAGAAAGACTAAGGCATAGGAGTGGTAATCTTGACCCTAATTACCCAAAACCCAAATCCAAGTACCTGCAAGCACTCACCTCGAAGTACTGCGATGAGACCCTGTGGGTCAAGTCTGAAAAACCCCAGGGCTTAGGGGGTTAAGGGTTTCGGGGCTTCGGGTTTAGCGATTGAGAGAGGTTTAGGGAAGTAGGGCTTAGTGCTTTGAAGTTGTTTCGGTTTTTCCCAAGCCTTAAAGCAGCAAGGGGCTCGCCGTCGCACGAGGCGCATGGCCTCAGACCTCACCACGGAGCCCACAGCTGAGGGCGTGGTAGCCTCACACGACCTCGGATGTGGATTTAATGATTCGGGTTGATATTAAGGGTGTAGAACAGAAGAATCTTGAAGGTTTACGGCATTAGGCTGGGTCTCGACTCCCCACATGGTTGGCGTCCCATCGAATCATTGGTTGAGGCGTGGGCTCTTCTAGGCTTGATTACCTGTTTTCTGCTTTCCAGATTCCGACTTGGAAGGCGTTATGGTACAACCCCTACTTGCTGTTCGTGCTGCACTTGCAGTTCTAATGGCAGCTCGACGCCATGAAAAGTTGCGGGTGTTCGCCTTCGGCTTAAGATTTCTAGCTGTGTGTAGAAAGACGGCGGAAGATGGGGTGCCAAAGGACTCAAAAGCACTGCCAGTCAAGGGGCAGATAGGTGATGACATCGGCTTGATGCGCCAGCTGTGCCCAAGGGCAGAGCCCATGATGCAGCACAACCTGCCAGCTCGTTTTTTTCACGAGGGTAGGCTTTAGCATTCGGCGGATCCAAATGTCCTGCAGGTTTTCAAGTTTCGACAACCCAAGACCCTTTCTCTGCGGGCTTCACAAGCTCCTAAACCCAACACTCTCATGAGCTCCGACCACCGGTGAAGCGATGTGTCAAGCACACAGGGTCTGTGCTCGTCGTAAAGTCCGAAGGACGTGTTCATTGCTATTGGAGTTCACAGGTGAAGCGAGAGCGCATCTGCATCAGTCGTCTCCCTCAGGCGAAGAAGCAAGGCAGACAACAATCCTGACAACCAGAATGGATCAGCATGGGCCTTCCGGGTAGGTTATACTATACTATACATATACTTCAATAAGGAAAACGCTAAAGAACCCTGTTACCTGTGATTCAAGCCCCTACGGTAACAGGTGGGATGCATGGCTCGGGTCTCCCCGAGCTAGTGAAGCTCCTTTCGCCACAACTGATCAGAGAGGGAAGGCGAAAGGCATTCGTCCGTGCAGTGTCTCAAGTGTCCGAAAACCCATGTTCACTCTCGTGTTTCTTCTGGAGAGAAGCAACATGGCAGCATAACGGCCATTATCTCTGTTTTTGGCTCACAAGGGTCGAGGCTAAGATGTAACACCAGCGAATCGCTGACCTAGGGCCTGCCTGGTTCACCCAATTCCTCACAGCCTCCACAGCGGTGCCGGCACGCGCCATGGCAGGTCGGATTTATGCGGCGCATTCGTATTTTCACGTATTTCTATGACATCGTATGATACCACATCTCAGATATAACTTATAACTTATAACTGTATCAGACTGTATGGTTTCATTTTGAAAGCCGATTTCTACTGACTGTGCGCGTGGGGCAGAAATCCCTGCAGGGCTCGAGGATGAGGGTTTGAAACTGTTTTGACCCACAAATGGCGACGGCAGCCATGGTTTATGTGTATGTATGTATATATGTGTATATATATATATATATAGACACATTTGACATATGATATCACACACACATATATATATATATATATATATAGATATATGTATGCACACATGATGTGTGTGTGTGTGTGCACATGCTGCTATTCTGAGCCAAACAAACCGCGATCACAACTGAAAACACACACACACACACACACACACACCCTTGACATGTTAACGTTGTGATGAGGGGCTTCTTTACTGGCCAAACCCTGTTCAGGGATACGGTTCCCATGATGTGCTCAGGTCGACAAACCAGCCGTCTGACAGAAGAGAAAAGTTTCGATGGCCGCAACACCGGTACGTTTTACGCGTTTCGGTTTTTGTAAACAATTAGAGTAGCTAAGCTTTGGCCGCAGATTTTCTGAAACTCCTGTTGTTCCGAGCCATCAGGTACGATGGATGCCTGGATTTGAATCTGGATCGTAACCCGAGCTAGAAACAAACGGGCCTGAATAGTTGAAAGATGGTACGGGGGTATACTAAGAAGGACTACAGGGAAACATTGGTCTGCAAAGGTCAGGCCCGGGGACTGGGCCAGTTGCCTTACATCGGCGTGCGAACATTTCCGCACACCATTGCCAAATTGAGTAAACGTGACTCTGCAGCGAATCGTGCCGGGCCGGCAATCTGGCCATTATGCTTTCGCCTTGGTAGTGACAGCAGCTCTCATTGTGGCTCGACCAGAACTGATGACGATTTCTCGCTTAACTACTCAGGACTTGGGATTGCTAGTCTCCCTCTCCAAGCAGAGCCACACGAAACTCAATCGCTCAGGGTTTTATCGGTGACCAAACCACAATGGGCCAAGCACAGCTTGACTAATTCAGCTGGGCAGCAAATCTCATTTATCCAGTGAGGCACCATTTCCTGACAGGGCAGGCCAGTCTCGAATGTCAGGAATGGTCCCAATAGAGGCTTGCGCAAGAAAAGTAATGAGTACTCACACCACGAGATACCAATGTATTGGCAACCAAAGATTTTCTGCTGCTGCCAGTATGCTGCTAGTGAAAATGCTGGGGTTGCAGTTACCATTGACTTAACGATTGTATGTCTTGGCTTGCCACCGGAAGACTGCAAAACCTCGCTTCTACATGCTGCTAATGCTGTCTCTACAGGTGAACGTATGAGTGTCTAATGATTTTCTACTCCTATGTACAAAACATACCATCATTACCAGGATTAGCGCTACCCGGCGGGGTATAGGGCTGAGGCTTTTTGTGGCTTTATGTTGTGTGTGTGTGTGTGTGTGTGCTTGTGTGTGTGTGTGTGTGTCAGGGTTTAGGATTGTGTGGCTTCAGTGCGTGTTACAGACTTGCTGATATAAGGTCTTGCTTTTCGGGTATTCTATATACATCGGCTTGGAATAATGTAGGGCTGTTCTGCGGGATTATAGAGGTACATGTGGCGATGCAAAGACTCTTGAACCCAATATCAAGAGAAGCTGGATGTCACATCCCAAAATCCCAACCCTAATAGTATAGGGGTCTTTATACTTTGAATCGGGTCTTGAAGGGGTAAACTATGCTATGGATATGCTAAGGTGTTCCGAGACTTGTTCCGAGCACTCTAGGGCCCTCGAAAAAAAACGTAAATCCAAAAATTGCCTGGCACATGCCCCAAAAACGGAAATGCGAGCAACAAAAACGAAATGCTAAACCGCTCCTGACGGTTTCGGGTCTCTGAGATTTTCGGGGCATAGGGGTTCTGAACCTTGTGTTCGGGGTTTGTTGGATTCAAGTTGACGAGCCAACAAGACCTGCAACCGGAGCGGAAGCCTCGATAAACATGGGCTAAACCCTTAACCTTGGACCCCTGATACCCTTGACTGGCCCCAGACCCCCAGAAACGCAAACTCAACCCTAAACCCGAAAACCCTAAAGTCTGTGTCCGGACTTACCGGCACAACCCAAACGGCTTGCTTGCACAGTATTTTAGAAGAGCTACAGGTTGACCTTTGGAAAGATTTTGCGTTCATAGCCACGCCCCACGCCCTAAAACTCAGAACTCTCTGCCGCCTTACGCCGTACGCCCCAAAACCCTATATACCCCAAAAGGAGCCCTTTGAAGGGACCCTTTCGGGAACCCCAAACCGGCCCTAAAAATCCCCCGAAATCCGAAGGCCTCGCTGTACTGGTGTTCCTTCAGGTGCAGGTCTAAGGTCTCCATGCAGATCCTCTCTACCTCGTCTCTCGGGCTGGGTTTGTGTTTTGTTTTTCATGTTTTGAGGGCTCTTTCCGACTGCCGAACTGGGTTTGTGGTTTGAGGTTTCGGATTTGGGGATTACGTTTAGGATTTATACTTGTAAGGGGCTTCAGGCTTCAGAGCTTAGGCCCCAGGGCCCGGTTTTGGCTCCAACAGATAGACGGGAGCAGCTTGGGTTTGGCAGACAGCCGGCTCCGACAAAAAGCTTCCGCGCGGTTTAAGCACCTGCGATTGATCATTGATGAGCTTTTGAGCAGGATCTTGGACCCTTAGAATCTTCCTTTGCGCTAAAGAACTCCGTGTGTGTCAGGCTGTCCGAGGTTGTCAGTGAAGGCCCGGTAAACCCGTATGCCAGGAGCTTAAGACTTAAGCGCTTGGGAGCTTTTTGACACTCACTCCCAAGCATTGAGGGGTGTAGGGATTGGGTCTTACGGTGCCTTTCATGTTTCAGGTTCCTCCTCTCGAAGGAGTTCCCTTGGGTCAGAACTTGTGTTGAAGCAGACAAACCCTGAAACCCCCTAATCTCAGCAGAACCGATTGAAGGCTGATGGTACAGGGGCCCTGGTAGTTCGAGTAGTTCCTATATTAAGCCAGGCTGGTAAACCGTTCTGCGACTGGCTTCAATGTCACGCCAGGACAGTTGTCTCCTTCCACACTGCACTCGTAGCAGAGTGAACGCTACGGCTGCAACGACTGGTCTACATGGAAAAGAAGTGAACGAACTGTCTGTGTATCATGGTCCGAAAGGCGCCGATCAGACTCGATCCCGACAGCAACCCCACATACTGTTCTCATGAGAGTGCCTGAAGACCCACTTCGCTCAGCCCTTGCCCTGAACCCCTAAACCTGAAACACGAGGCTTCTTCTTAAAGCCCCCAGCCCTAACCAGCCTAAGTGCTAAATCCCAAACCCTTAACACCCCAAACCCTGAAGCTTTCAAGACCTTAAGACGCCCCCTTGTAGATAGCTTCAAGGAATGTTTGGGGAGGGGGAGACCCACCCAAACCATTACGAACCGAACTCCTTCTGATTCTTAAACCATATATTATATAACAACCCAGTTAAGAACTCTACAGCGATACCGGGGTCGTCCCGACCCGTGCGCTACAGCAAAGCGGGTTCAGCTGTGCTCCCGGCGTCATCCTGCACCCAGGCGGAGTCCTGGCAATTTCATGACGGGTTGTCATCAACTTCGTAAACTTTACAATGGCTGTTTATAGATAGGGCTCTATGATAGGGGCCTCAAGTACCAGTAGCCCTGATGTGCCGTATAATCATGCGCATAGTGCTTGTTTAATTCCCCAAATTGGTACACACGATGGGGTTTTAGAATGAAGGAAACTGGTCAGGGTGCCCCCAGATCCATTCTAAACTCACGCTAAAACTCCAGTACTCCTTGTGGCCTGGCCTGGAAATCCTTGAATCCTGCTACTGTACTGCTTGGGGAAGGCATGTGGGCCGTCTTCCTGAACCCCGGCTGTTTTTGTTCCAAATAGTCAAGATCCCGCCGCTAGATGGGAGAAGCGTAGCGCATCGCTGGCGGCCTGTAGATCCGCATTTAAGTCTTAGACGTGTTTTTGAATCTCGTAGGGTGATGAGGTGCGCCTGCGAATGTAGTCTCCCGATCGCCTGGTAGTCTCCTAGCGTGGCCTGCTGGTGGTCTCCTCGTGGTCATTCTGGTGGTCGTGGTCGTCTTGGTCGTCGCGGTGCTATACGTGTATCACTGTGTGGGGATCTGCACTGGAACCCCTGTCATCTTCAGATTGGCCCAAAGAGCCTACAAAAGCCGTTGCAACTCTTTCAAAGACCGATGAACCCCCGACAAGAACCCGCAACTGACTTCATCTGAAGAAGCTACAGAAACACTGCAAGGCTTTGCGTTGCAGGGGGGCCAGCAAATCCCTTCATATCTGTTGTCCTTACCACAAGACCCTTAAAGGGAACCTTGTGTTTCTGAAACCCTCATTGGGGTTTAGAGTTCGGGGGGTTTATGGTTTAGAAACTTGCAGGGCTTATAGGGTTCACAATAGACTTCAAGGCTCAGGGCGTTTAGGTGGTCCCTTCTGGGTCCCCCAAAATTTTTTGGCACCCTTTATGACAAGGGACTCTAAAAAGGGATCCAAATATAGAGAACTACGGTTGATGATTTAAAACCTGCACTACCCATACTAACATCATTCCCATAGTTTAGGGTCCTTAGGGTAATGCAGGATTTTTGTCATCAACAGTACCCGATAGGTCCGATAGGGTTTCGGGGGGATCCCTCCTCGGAGCTGTGGAGCTCATCGACCATTCTCCGGTCACGGCCTTCCGTCTGGCGTTGAAAGGATGGGCTCTTCGACGGTTCTTCAAGGGTCGCTTAGAAGTCTGTATGCGTTCTATAGGAGTTTCCTCTTGCTTCGTTTTCACCGCGTTTCTGTTCGTGCTCACAGGTTTACCAGTTAATGGAGTTTTCAAGGTGCTGCTGGTTGAGGGTGCTTCGATACGGGTGTTTTTTATGGCTTCAGGGCTTTAGGGCTAGGCCCATGTGTTCTGCAACCTCCCATGTTTACTTGATGGTGACAAGATGCTACAAGACTGACGAGGTTCTGTGCATGTTCGTGGTACGTTTCCGGCGTCACTGAAGCTTCGCGATCGGGCAAAAAAGTTGAGGGGGGATTTGACATGAACCAAGAACTCGAAAGTCCCAATGTAGACCCCAATGAGCGAACCCCCTCCTTGAGGTCTTTCGTACTCGGATCCCGATGATGAACCTTCTTAGGGAAGGAATGTTTCCCACTCAGCTGTCCGCATGGTACATCCCAAAATCCGTGCAGTCAGCAAAGCTGACATGCGGGCGGAGGGGGGGTGAAAGTGGTCCCTGAGGAACGGACACTGCTGCCGCTGTTGCGCGGCAGTCCTGATCATTTCGGGGGTGTAGGTTCGTCACCCCACGTCGTATCTCAAATCGTCGGTTGGACCCTGAATAGGTCCCGCAGTAGCCTCTCAAAAATTAAGGTACCCCTGTTCCTATTCGGTTTGATATTACAGGTCTAAAGCCGACCCTGTTTATCCTGGCCAACGCACGAATCCACAAACTCAGAGCCCTGACAGTCCAAGCGAGCCCTGTATGCAGACCCCAAGATTACCCAATGATGTAGGGGGCCCTAAGAATTAGAATAGGGTTTCTATAAGGGTTCCTTTGGGGTTTGATAGAGGGGGACGTAAGACTGAAAATGGGTTGCAGGGGTGCCCGAAGGATTCGGGTTTAAGAGCAGTTCGGGGTTGAGGGATTTCTTGGGTTTCGGGCTTAGGGCTTTGGGGGTTTAAGGCTTCAGGTTTGCTAATTATCGCCCCGCAAGATTTCCCGTTACACTCTGCAGCAAAGCCAACTGTGTCAGTCTGCGAACCAGCAAGTATGCCAACAAATCGACGTGAGAAACAAAGCCCGCAATCATGGCACGCACGCAACTAATGTAGGAGCCTGATTAATTAAGAAACCTTAAAATTGGGCCTTTTAATAGGGTTCCTTATATGATGAGTCCCAATATATTGGGGGTTATAGGGCCAGGGTTTCTTAATCAGGTTCCTATATTACCAGTTCAAGGTAGATGTCTCTAAGAGGCCAGCCCAAACAAACAACACGACACGGAAAGGGTATCCTACCATTGCATGGGCTGAGACAGGGCCTCTCTCGAGGTTTGACTCCTTTCGATCTTTGGGAGGTCCCTCTTATAATAACTACCTGTAACTACCTAGACTAGTTTGGGCGTTCCTTATTATAACTATACATAGTACAATGGGCGCCAAGACCCTATTCTAACTAGTAAGACCCCTAATACAGAACCCTACTATAGATCCGTTAGAGACCCCTTTAAGGTTCCCCTTCAGAGGAACCCCAATAGAATTATTGACCCTGTTCTAATCAGTAAAACCCCTATATTAGAAGCCTTGTTGTTTGGAGATCCGAGCACAGCCCCTCCAAGTCGTCCTGCTGTCAGCGCGACTGGTGCCCACCTCCCTGGGTTTGAGCCAATCGGCGGTGGAGCATCCAGCTGGATTTGAATTCTGGGCTCAGGTTTTTAGGAAGTTTTTAGGAGGTTGGGGCTCAGGATTTAGGGCGTGGAGGGCTGCGCATGTTGTTCATAGGCCTAAGGAGCCTCCGGCAAGGACCAGACATGATACTCTTGGGGACAACTTCCCCTGTTTTGCATATGGACTTGTTCGCCTCAATGTCAAAATTTTCTCCTGCACCCAAACCCTCATGAACCCTAAACCCCAGAATCTACCATGCAGGGATTCGGGTTGAGCGCGCTGTGGCTCACCTCTGAATCAGGAGCGAGTCACCAAAACATGCTCCATGTTGCTCTGTGTAGGTTTAAGATTTAGGGGTTCGCGGTGTTGGGTTCGGCATTGTCGGGCTTCGTAGGTACCGTGTGTCCGCTGGGGTGTAGAATTGAATGTCAAGTTTTCTCATGCACAAAACTTGATAACGCCAAATTGAAAGGAACATACATGAGCCGTCTATGCCGTAAGCAGACAAGAATAAAACTGTTGATAGCTACGTTTCGGCAAAACAGCATGGGGTCGGAAAGGCTGGATTTCTTCTCAATGCAACTGTGCACGACAAACACACGGATTGAATCTACAGAAGGTTGTAGGGCCTAGGGCTTAAGGTGCTAGAGGATCATTCCATGGGGCCAAAACTACAGAAGTCTGAATACTTCGTACCAAAGCATTACAAAACCAAACTACAACGCGCCCCAAACCCTGCCAAAGCAAACACAAACCTCCAAACTTTTTCTTCAAGCTAAATCGGGTGAAACTTCGACCCGTCGATACGCACTCGCTTACCGTCCCAGCGCAGGCCATCGATCCTCCAGTCAGCGGCGAAAACAGACGGCGGGTTGGGGGTAGGGGGTGGGGGGGTGATACAGTTTATAGAGTTGAAGGCACCTATAAAGTCTAGAGTCAAGCGTTAGGGGTGTTGAGTGTATATTAGGACCAAACAAAGGAAACCACCAATATAGAATTGGTGATTATTAAGGCCGCGAATATAGAAACCTGAAAGGTCGACCCCTTTAAAGGCATCCTAGTCTAATTGCTGACCCCAAGATTAGGGGTTCTTCTTATGCGGGTTGTTTCTGTTACCTCTTTGGGGCCGACAGGGTTTCAGGGTCTGGGCTCTACTGGGAGTTTCGCAAAGTAGGGGTACATTTTATTGGGGGTCCTTAGAATAAGGATCCTACTATTGAGGGTACTATATTAAGGTCCCCTATTTTCGGAAACTCCCCACTATATGTCAGGTAGAGGGATTTGAAGTGCTCAGGCAAGGCCTGACGCGACATTCTGACAAGAGGAGGCCGAGATAGGCTCATGTGGGCCACAGAACACCCCGATACCAAATCGAAGGGTTTTGGGGTGTGCGGGTTTTTCGGTTTCAAGGTCTGCTGTTTCGCCCAACTTCTAGGGCATGATATGTGCTAACTTGCAGCCTACATGCGACATTCTGACGTCAGCAGACTGGTCAAACACTGCAACAGGCAGACGACTGAGCAAGCCGACTGTTTGTCACTACAGCATACGTAGTATCTCTTTATTGTAGTATGTTATTTGCTCCAAAGTATAACTTACGATGCCATGATTTTAATCTCTCTCTCTCTCTCTCTGCCGTGCCATCATCAAGTGTCTCGCAATGCAAGGGCACGAAAAACGCAGGCCAGAATATCAGGAAGCGTAGCGCGAACGCTGAACCTCCTTCATCCTGTAGTACTACAATATATAAATTCAACAACGAACATATGACATAATATGATATACACACAAAACTTCTGGGGCACGAGCCACGGCAAGCGGGTCGCCGGCAAATCCTGCAAGGTGCTTGGATTACTTTGGCTCAGTTGCCGAGTGCATAAGCCCAAAAAAGTTTAAACTTTCAGTTGTACGAAGGTTTCATCATCCCAAAAAGTTTCAAGTTTATAAACTCAGCTACTAAGTTGGGGATTTATGGAGCTTTCGTTTGAGGCTTTGGGGTCGAGCGCGAACCTCCGACTGGCCACATCCGTCGATAGGAAAACCAGAGTCTCGCGAGAGACAGGGTTTACGGTTTAGGGTAGGGTGACCCAGCCCAAAGAAGTGCAAACGAACCAAAGGGAGAACCTCTGCGCGTCCAGTGCTGCACGCGTCTTCGCGTCCAAGCGCTCAACAAGGAGCTATGCTACCACCGTTTCGCATGCAAAAGCACTTGCCTACGCGGGACTATTGATTAAGTACACACATTCTCCATAATGTGTCAATGTGTCTCTGGTGCGAAGTTATGCAAACAAGACTGCGGAAATGAAAATAAAGTGCAACAGCTTTAAGACAATCCCCCTAAAGCTCGTGGAAAATGCAGGGATTGCCATGAGCTGCTCCATATTAAGACTCCTCCTGCAGTATGCATCGATTCGCACTCAAAACTGTTCCATTCAAAACGGGCGCTCTTGCAGCAACAAGTTGCTGCCTTATTCGCTGCCGGACATGTCTTTTGCCGAACAGACCTTGGGCAAATCTCAGAACCCGGCCGGGGGCTGCTTTGCTTGAAGTTTTGCCTTAAGTCGCAAGGCTCAAGGCACTCACGCTGGGTGAAGGTAGCATCAGCCAGATCTCAAGCATGAACCTCAAGATCTGAGGCTACTACAAAGGGTCCTGTAAACCAAGAGCCTAAAACTCTAGTCATCAAACTGCCCGCTCGTCCAGGAAGACAGCAATAGTAATGACAATGAGCTAAGTCCCATGAGGAATGCTGAAAGAGTCATGTCATGGCAAGAGATCGACGCATTTGACTTCTTCCTGAATACAGAAGTTTCTTGTCAGCTGACAAACGATGCAGCAGTAGCCGCCGGCGTACTGGATGCAACTCATGTCACCGCAACTTCGAGGCTGTTAGAGCTCTTGCCCTTGCACACAGGCTTGATTCGAGCTCGCCCGGCCAGGTACTGAACCAGGCTGTCACAGTGAAGCCCCCAAAACTCTCAAACCCTGAACCCTCAATACGAGGCTTACCCCACCGTTCTGCAAAACCGAGCTTAAACCCGAAACTTCCAACATGCGGACCGCAACGCGACACTACAGAGAAAAACTGTCTTGAAACTGGGTCAAGAACTGCCTTTTGCAGCAAATGGCGGATGGCCTCGGCGTCCACCATCGCCTTTTTGTTGCTACACGAGGAGAGTTTTCACATGCACGCCTTATTACGCTTCTTTGCATCCTGAATGCTGGCACTTAGTGGGATTCTGACGTAAATGTTCAAACCAGTTTCTAACTCTAGTTTGCGCTACTACCTGTTCTTCATAGCAAGAGCAACAAGTGTAGCATAGTGTAGTCATCAGTTGCAACAGCAGCAGCATCTGCTGGTGCTCGTCTTGCCATTATTTCTGTTCTTTTTGTGCTGTGGCGGTTGCTGTTGGCGTTGCTGCTGTTGTCACTGTTGTGTGCTTTGGTCTCTTTGCTTGTGGTGGTTGCTGTTTCTGCTGCTGTGGCTGCTGTGGCTGCGATGATGACCACAGTGAACATTCATGTGGAGGACCGTGGTGTCTACAGAAGCGGGAGACAGACGATTGTGACAAATTTTCGAGCCCCTTCGGGCTCAGATTCAGGGCTTCTGGGTTCTGTAGACGATGCACGGCTTCCACAAGCATGAAACGCAACCGCGAGGTGACAGCGCTGCGTGACGGTTCGAAGGTAAACCTAACCCGAGAAGCTACCGGTAGCGTAAGCTTGTGAACCACCATGTCGGTTGGACCTAGCACAGTATGAGTTTAGTCTAGATGTTTTTCTTTGGAACTGTGCAGGGAATGAACCAGCTATGATGCACAGCTCAAACACCAATACCAGCACGGAATCCCAGACCCTGAAGCCTTATCCCAAACCCCACCCCGGAAACCCAAACTGCTAAACCGCCCACGATAACCCCCTGAACCCTTACACCCATTGGCCCTAAACCCAACCTCGGAATCTGCTGGACCAAGGATGTCGTCCTCGAAGTCTGTCGAGGAGAGTCCTTGAACATGAGCTAGAGGTTGGCATCAGTGTTTTATCAGCGCTAGTGGGGTTTGATGATAAGGCCCCTTGTCTATACTTCAGGCCGTTAATGCAGTTGTGGGTTTCAGGGATGTCGGAGTTGGCGAGCGTTTCGGATACAGGTCACGAGTTCAGGAGTTTCCGTGTCTGTGCACAGTGTTGAGTCTTGAGGGCGTGGTTAGGGTGCATGTCGGGTGTTGCGGTCTTGCTTAGAAGTTCAGGGATGAACAATTTACGGGCTCCGGGTATTGGACGTGGAAGAGTTCGACTCGGGGGCTCGGAGTTTGTTACCATGGGGTGCAAGGTTTAGGGCTTAGTCCTCAAGAAACGGTGCTTGATTCCTACAGTACTGTATCAGACTTCTGCAATACATCTGGACACCTGCTGACATTCTTGGGCGAATCGCCGGGCTCTCCCGCCTGTTTTTTCCAGCAAGTATCTGACCTCGACAGCGCGACTGAGTTGCATGATGAGGGTTTTCTGACCTCTCCTACCAGTTCCTTTCCAGCAAGCACCTCACTGAGACAGCGCGACTGAGACTCATTCCGACTAAAAAGGCTTCTCACTCTCACTCTGAGTTTCACTCTCACTCTCGCTCTCCTTCCCCCTCTCCCTCTCCCTCTCACTCTCGCTCTCACTCTCACTATCGCTCTCACTATCGCTCTGGCTCTCACAATCACTCTTACTATCACTCTGGCTCTCACAATCACTCTCACTATCGCTCTCACTCTCACTCTCAGTCTCACTCTCACTCTCGCTCTCACTCTGAGTTTCACTCTCACTCTCGCTCTCGCTCACTCCCAGTCTTCTGCAGGGGTTTGCGAAACTCTAACTGTAACTCTACCTCTCTCTCTCTCTTTCTCTCTCTCTCTCTCTCTCTCTCTCTCTCTCTCTTTCTCTTTCTCTCTCCCAGTGGTAGCAAGCAACGCCGTGCAAGTTCAACCCATCTTGTAAACCCCAATGGATGTGCCCCTCCCTCCAACCTGCGGCACCTCTCAAACCCTTGAACCCATTTGTCGCAACCTTGCGTCTCACGTTTAGACAAGCTTCGGCGGGCCTCAGCGGCATTTGCTCCAGTTAGTAACCCGCACCGCTGCCTACACCCCAGGCCCTAAACCAACATGAGTAACAGCCACGCCTGTGAGCTGGGCATCGCCACACCGTCGCCTAGAAGGGGCAAGACCTCAACACTGCACCATGACGGGGGCAAACTGTCACTCAAGACTGATGCATTGGTGCATGCAATGCAGAACCCCGTGCAAACAGTCCAGCTCATTTCCGCCTGCCAAAGTGACACACACACACACACACACAGAGAGCCTTGTGCAGAATACGCAAATCAAAACATGGCCGTGCAACCTATCTAGCATATATGGCATACATCATGCTACCATGAAATCGAAGCCAGACCGCTTCCTCTGAAACCTGCAATCCTCTCTTAAGCCTCACAGGTGAAGGTGCGGAAAGCCAGGCAATTTGGCAACAATACAGGTTCGCTTTGCTGGCATCTGAATGCGTGATACTCTCCCCCCCCCCCACTCACGTTTCAGCAAGGAGGCTGCGGCGAAAAGGAGCTCGTAGAATCGATCTTCTTCCTCCTCGCAACGGGCTCAGAGCCCACATACCGACACGAACAAGCAACGAATAGATACGAAGAGCCTCAAACCCCAAGTCAGCCATACATGCCATACAGAAACCCCACGAACTTTTCAGCGTCACAGTTAGTCCTAGACCAACTCGAATGCCTGGTCCAAACACTCCCCCGCCCACAGGCAGGAAATCGCACATGTTATTTTATAATTTGGAGCTTTCCGGCTGTGGTGGCTTTCACCTCAACGAATCTCTGAATCCAAAACAGCCTCGACACTTCAAACTCCCGGATGCATGATTGGCCAACCGCCCTACACGCCCTTAACCCCCCCTTCTACCTGATTGAACACTTTTACCAGGAAATCATTGCCTACAGAGGTATGTACGGGTGTGTATTTTGGGGTTCAGGTATACCCCAAACTCGGCTGCATCGTGCTGGCCCGGCTTTGACTGGCAAGACCACCACTGCCACAAACTTTAGGGTTTAGGGGTTTATGATTATGGTTTAGGATATCTTCGAAGCTGAAACCGCTAACCAAACTCTACGCCCAAAGCAACAAGCCGCGAAACGAACAAATGCATGGCTCCTGCGAGCATTCACGCCCTGCCTGAGGATAAGTGATCCTTGGCAGCTTTTCTGATAGACAAGGGTCTATGAGCTTATGCAGAGATGCTGGATACATTTGGGGCATTACATCGGTCATGATGTGCTCGACTGCTCGCGGCTGTATCTTTGATAATTTCTTGCTCCGGTCCGATCCAGTAAGGGACATCAGAGACGAGACCAGACTGAAAGCTTAGAACTGGAACCGGAAGAACGCGCTACAGTTTTCCGAATGCTTCACCCGACCCCAAGGGGGGAATTTTCACTTCCGTAGCTTGGAGAGCTCGCTTGCAGCAGTACCTCCCAGCAAGTGTTGTTTGGACAAAAATGACGTGAACGGTTAGCTACCTGTGATACTAGCTGGCCAGACAAACCGCACACCTGCAACATCCTGCAACGATCCTTGCAGCAGAGCATCCCTTCGTGGCTTCCGGTTTCCGGGCTAGCCTCTGAGAGCTGGCTTCTCTTAAGGATTCCTCCAAGGATCCCTAGAAGGGTTCCGTTGAGGGTCCATAAGGATGCCTTCAAGGTTCCTATTAAGGGTCGTTGCTAAGGGTTCCTTTAAGGACTCGTCGAGGGCAAGGCTTCCTGGTTCTTTAAGGCTTCTCCCCTCTTCAGCTTTCACTTGTCGTGTTTGTGCAGGGCTCAAGGCCGTCTTCACAAAACAAAGAGCACAAACTACGAAGGTGCCATGTTTGGGAAGTACATGAGCGTGAGGATGGAGGGAGGGTTTTCTTTCCTCCTACGTCGAAAAGACCGAAGGGTTTAGGGCTTTCACTTAGCCCTAAACCCCAAAGCCCCCTGGAGCGGCCTGTGGCAGATCCGCCACCTGCGCCTCAACCGCCGGAGTGGCACCTGTGCAGAGCCGGTTTTCTTGAGGGGGTTGCAGCTTCGGTCCACGTGAAGAACGGAGCCGATCCTATTTCTGGTTCCTGTTCCCCGTCTTCAGAAGATGCAATCTTTCCGGCTCGTCTGGTCCAGTGGGCTTTCTGGCTTCCCTGACCTCGTGACCGAACCTTGCATGAAACCCAATTAAACTGCATGGCATGTGAATCAACACCGGCTATTGTCAGCCGGCATGGTGACTGCCAGTCACTGATAGCCTGTGTATTTGGGCTTTCCATCCAAAGTCAGTGTTCGACATCATAAGAAAACCGTAGGCGATTATAGCCGCTCGCCCATACCAGATTCCGAAGACTGCCCCAGCACTTGACCAGCCGAAGAGACTTGTCAAGTGGTAGTGCCGGCATGATTGTAGGGATGTGGAAAATGCTGCAGAGTACGCCTTCACCCTAAACGTGGCCGGTTGTGGCGTTCGGAGCTGCTGTGACTTGGCAGAGCTCCCCTGCATCTTCCTGTGGGGTCTATTCCCGACTATTCTGCTTGAGCAAAACTTGGGGCTCCTGGCTCCTCCACAGGAAGCTTCTGGAGCAACATGCTCTCGCAGTAGTCACTTGTCCATTGTGCCTGTAGCCGGCGCCGGCGGTGGGAGGTCCTGCATGGAGAGCTCAAGAGCGGTACTGAAGGAAAGCATGGCCATTTGTTTCAGGAAACGACAACCGTGTTCTGCCTAAATGAAGGCACACAGGCATGCGGTTCAAGATCCTGTTCCTTCTGGTCCGTGTATATGCGAACCAATGCTAGCATCCGTACATGGCTGGGCCACCATCACCAGCACGTTGTGCAAGGCTCAGGCGTTGGTGCGATCAAGCTTATGCCACTTCAGTCTGGCTGGAAATTCGCGTGAGACCTCCGTAGGCAAGAATTACCCAACCCGAAGCAGGAACAAGTCGATCAGGGTGTAACTGTAAGGCCTAGAGATGTTTAGGGCTCGTAGCAACCTGACATGTGAATCAACAGCTTAGGGGTTCGCCAAGAATCCAGCTTTTGAGACTGCAACATGTATGCAGGGGGCTTGTATTGCCCACACTACCCACCCTACTGGCACACACATCCACACTCTTCCAAAAAAAGCGTATGCAAACCCGACATGATCTAACCCCAAAAAGAACACCCAGAAAAGGACAGTCTCTGGCAAACTAGCAGCTAGCAATGCCCTCACAAAGTCCCTAAATCTGATAAGACCCGATACCCTTTCGCATAAGCCACTATAAGCCCGTAAACTACTACAAAGCCTAGATCACAAACCACATAAGCCGGCAAACCACAAAGCCTAAATCATAAACCCGAATTCCGAAACCGAGAAGGAACCCTCAGCTCGCCGGAGGACCTCTGCAGGCTCCGGCGATGAAGGACTTGGCGCCGCGTCGGAGGCAGGCGATGCATCTGGCGAGGCGTCGGCCAAACCTGAGGCGCTCTTCTTTTCCGGCTGGATCTCTGGCGCAGTGCTCCTTACGGTTACCTTTATTTTTTTTTGAAGCTTACACTCGGACAAGCCTGGCAAGGTCTGTATCTCAGGTTACCTTTATCAGGGCAGAGGGTTTAGCTTTGGACTTTCAAGACTTTACAGGGTTTCCGGCGGTTTGGGCTGAACCGCTGAAACCGTAAACCCCCCACACTACACCCCTAACCCCTAAACCCTAAACCCTATAGATCCTAAACCCCTAAACCCTAAATCCCTTTCTCTCTCTCCCTCTCTCTCTCTCTCTCTCAGGCGCCCTAAACCCTTTTTACATCCAGGCCTCTTGAAGTCTTGCCGCTAAACCCTAAACCCCTAAACCTTCTCCACAGACATGGAAAGCAAGCCCAAGCCGACGGTGGCCTGCGAGCATCTCTGGCGCAAAGGCCGCGGGGGGAGCCTGTTCCGGCCCCAGGATGCAGTAAGTAAGCTACAAAATTAGGGGTACCTTTAAAGGGATCCATAAAGGTTCCTTTAAAGGGATCTATAAGGGCTCTTTTAAAGGGAACTCCAGAAAGTTGGAATATGGATTGATGGTAGGATCCCCTATAATTTACCTGAAAGGGGTTACGATAATGATATTCCAACTTTCTGGCTTCTACTGTAAGCTACAGAATATAGGGGCCTTGATGATTAGAATAGGCTTCCTTTGAAGGGATGCCTTAAAAGGGTCCCATTAGAAAAAGGGTTCGGGGCACATTGTACTATAAGGCTACAGAATATAGGGGCCCTGATAATTAGAACAAGATTCCTTTTAAAGGGATCCCTTGAAGGGGTCTATATGGGATCCATAGTGGGATCCATGACGTAGGGTTCCTTTCAGAATTCTTGAAAGAGCTCTATAAGATATCCATAACAAAGTTTATTGAAATCGGGGCCCTAACAATTAGGGCCTTGAATGGCAGAATAGGGCCGCGGGGGTAAACTTCGTAAACTACTTGGAGGTACATTGACATGGGGATCTGCCAGCGATCAACGTGCTAGGATTGACAGGCTTAATGTAGGGGCCTTCAGCATGAACATGTGGGTTTGAGGTATAGTATACTAGAGTTTAGAAAGGATCCCGGAGGAATAGTGTAGGTACCTACTCCGGGACCTACATTAGGTTTGTCAGCTGCGGCCTCTGCACAGCGAGACCGAAACTCAGCAGAAGCCGTGATCTCGCCGATCACCTGAAGACCTGTCGGCGCTTTGAGGCCTGTTCAAGTAGCATAAGGGCCTTAACACTTGAACTAGGGTTTATTGGGGCCCCTGATACTATAATAAGGGACCCCCAAAGTAGTATAATAGGTAATCAATCAGGCCCCTATAGGAGGCGGTTTTCTGGCACAACCTCGTCCACTAGGGGGAAGCTTGTTACGCCCTGAGAACCTATGCGAGCAGGCACTGCAATGCACTAGGCCCTGAATCCCTTCAGCCAAGCTCCAGACGCCAGCTCTTACTTGGAGGTTCATGGGTAGTTATAAGTGGGGGTTATAAGTCCCTTAATATTGGCTATAAATAGAGATAACCACCCCTGAACCTCCAATTATGGCTGTCCCACCCGAAACCCCTAAACCCTCAGCCCAAACTCATTCTTTGCAGCTTGAATTTGCAGGCGCCCGCGCTTTGAAGCGCTGATTGTTTCAGCTGCGGCCTGGCTGAACTCTGAAAACCCACCACTAAAGGGGCCCGAAAACTTAGAAGAACAGAATTGGAATAGGGTTCCTTTTTCAAGACTTGCTTCACGGCTACTATAAAACTTACTATTTTATGACGGTTCTATGATACAGGGGCCTTAATAATTAGAATAGGGCTATTTCACAGGATTCTGAAGAGGGCTAAATGCGAGTTCTATAGTAGGTGGTAGGGTTGTAGACATTGAGTAGGTTTTGGGGCATATCATACTATAAATGAAAAACCTATAGGGGAATTTGAATATTGGCACAAACTAACCGACCAAGACTCTAGAGTAGATCATGTCAGTATCTTATCATATCTTGTCTCTTCCTGTTCTTATCTCAGCTTGTCTTATGTCATGGCAAAATAAGCTGATAGGCTCAGGCGAACGCCGCCGGGGCTCAGGCAAGTACGCCTCCGAGCTCATGTAGCGCACATCTTGTAGAGCCTGGTTGTGGCACAAGGGATTTGTGAGCGAAGCGAAGGATTTAGAGTTTAAGGGTGGGGGATTTAGGATGTAGAGTTTAGGCCTCAGGGTTGTGTTGTTAGGGCATATAGGGCTTAGACTTTCGGGCACCAGGCACAGGGTTTCCACGTCTCCGTACGGGCGCATGGGTGGCATGGAGAACACACCTCAACCTCCGTTCCGACTACAGGGCATGCTGGGCATGCGGATCTGGAAAAGCCTTTGCACAGAGCTCTTTTCAACGGGCATCCAGGTTGGTATATTTCTGGGTCAAGCACGATTCAGCTTGCCTGTGTGCAAACCCAGAGACTCCAACGCCCTTGAGCACAGCTGCAGGAACTACTTCGTGGACTCCACTACGGATTCCTTCACAGCGCGCGCTGGACCCTAAACCCTAAATCCTGAACCCTACAACCCTAGACCCTAAACCCTAATCCTGAACCCTACAACCCTAAACCGTAAATGCTGAACCCTACAACCCTAAACCCTAAACCCTTGTTGCTTCCTCAAAGCGCTTTGGAGCCTCTAGGCATCAAAGCCATGAAGCGGCGGCAGCTGACTTTATCAGCCTGCCACCCTTCAAGAGTTTCGCGAAGTGGGGAGTCCCCTATTGAAACGGCCTACATGGAGGTTCATGAATATTAGCAAAGTGGGGAATTCAGTAGGGTAGCTATAATTATAGCCCATAATAGGGGACTTAGAACCCCACTTACAACTACCCATGAAGCCCCAAGTAGATCGCTGAGGTAGGGGCCTGAAGAACCTCCAATCTTATTCCCTAAGCCTCCTTATCGCAGTAATGCTGGATCATGCCCAAAGATCCTATTATCATAACTAAGGCCCATATATTATGCCATCATGACTGGCAAAAACTATGTCATGTGTTGCTGCCAGGTTTGCTCTTGCGGTTGCTGCTGCTAGCACTAGGACACTACGAACCATACTAAGGATCACCCAAACTATTTTGGCATACATGACGACCCTACCTACATCAACCGATATACACCAAGTATGGCCCTCGAAACAACTGTCTGATGGTACCATGAATCACTCAAGGTAGTCCCTAGACCCTCATGGGAACTCCCATTTGCAGCGTGAGGTGGCGTTCACCAGTTCGCCTTGACGGGGCGCGGTGAGATGGGGACATCTTGGAAGTCCTCCTCCTGATCCAAAATGAGGGGTACCTTATTTTGGTGGTAAGGGATCTACAACGGGCAACTTATTTTGGGGTCCCTATAATGAGGATCCGGCTAATTAAGGTACTAGATGAGGTCCCTTATTTTCGGACACTCCCTGAGGTCCTCAATGCGCTCATCAAGGACACGTTCCGAGTATACCTTCGACAGGATGCTCGTCTTGCGGTTCAGCTTAGGGGTTTGCTGGGTTCAGGGGTTTATGTAGGGTTTCGGCGTGTTTCGGTTCTCACACTCGGACAATCCAGGCGAGGCATGTGGCCCGAGGTCTGTGGGACGATCTAATGGGGTTTAGAGTTTAGGCTGTCAGCTTTATCTAGAGGTGCGAGAACTTGCTAAGGGATGCTTGACTGAGGCTTTTGGGTTTGGCCTGACAGGGCTTTGGTTTAGGCCCAAAGTTCTTGAAGTCTTGCTCTCAACCGAGCTTTACTTTCAGAATGCATCGCACTGATGGGATCTTTGTAACATGTGCTTTAAACAGAATCAATTCTCTCTTATAACCCCAAATCTCAGGCCCGAAAAACCCCAACCCCCACACCTATCGAACCCTTCTTTAAACGGGTAGAGAACCCTCACAGACAACATTGTGAAAACCCATTTTCTACACAGAATACTCACAGAGTACATAATTTGAAGACTGTGCCAAGAAGTCCTTGGACTTGAGCCTACGCAATTATAAGAAACATGATGACATGAGGAACGCCCAGCTAAGCACTTGCCTTCAAGGCATGGGATTGCCCGTAAACCCCTTTGGCAACACCAAACCTCAAAAACTCAGAATTTCGAGGCATGAGAGAGCAACACTTTGGGGGGCTAGGGGATCCTTGTAAGAAGGATCCTACTATCTGGGCTTCCACATGAGGTTCCCCTATTTTCGAAACTGCGAAATCGACATAAGGTTTAAGGTGCTCGGTTTCGGTTCGACTTGGTACAGTGTTCGTTCATTTATTATAGAATTTAGGTTTTGGGGTTTCTGTATAATTTGGGTCCTGGTTTCGGGTTTAAGGTTTTACGATGTTTAGGATTTTGGCTTGAGGGCTTTACCAGTGGTTCAGAGTGCTGAGTAATTTGGATGTTTAGGGCTGAGAGGTTCACGATTGAAGCCTATCGCTGCAAAAGTCAATGTGCCTCACCCATGGACGCACCATAGACGTCGCCGTCCTCAGACCTGTTTGTCGGCCCAGGAAAAGGCGCCAAGGTAAGTGGACTTGCGCTGGGGCTACGCAGCGGCAAAGTTGCATTCCGGGTTTCAAAGGCATGGAGCGATACAGGGACTGATGAAAGCAATAACTACGGAGACGACAACAGCAGTAGGAGGAATACTAGTTGTGTTATTGCAGTCACGCTGGCAGCATAAGTAGCAGTAGCCATCGTTGTCGTCGTCGTCGCCGAGGAAATAGCAACTCTTGTGATAGCGGCACGAATCAAGGTGGAAGAATTTGATTACTTTGACATGGTACTGCCCATAGTACCGGCATCCCGGTACTCATTTCATCATCGCCAGACATATAGAACGACAACAACCTCAAGACCTTGCCGGACATGCAGCATGTGCCATCAAAGTCACATCCCTGCGCCTAATGATTGCGTGAGCGGATTTGTGCAAAGCGAACCCAATCCTGACAAACCCAAACTGATCTACAAAAGCCCTTTCAGCACCCTGCAAAAACCTCGAGAAGCCCCACAAAACCGCGCAAAAAACCCGAAAAGTCCTAGCAAAACCCCGCAAAACACTTTCAAAGAACCCTTTTTCACAGGCTTGATTAGTGCTCGCCCGGCCAGGATCCCCAAGCACACCGCACTAAACCCCAAACCCCTAAACCCTAAAAGAACCCTAGGTCCCCAGCAAAAGCGTCCATCGCGGCTTCGCCCGGCCGGAATCCTCGGGCTCCAGGTCCTTGGCGGCGGTTTTGGGGGCCTGCGCGGCTTACGGGGGGTTTAGTGTTTTAGTATATAGGGGTTTTAGGGTTTTTTGTATAGGGGTGTAGTGTTTTCAGTGGTTTTTAAAATTTTTCTCGCAGGGTGTTTTGGTTTTCGTAGGTTTGTCAAGGGTTTGGGGGTTTCGCGGTTTATTTTTGTGTGGAGGGGCAGCGGGAGGTGGGATCGGGGTTAAGGCTTAGAGTTGTTTCTCCCTCCTGCATTGCTGAACCAGTCGCTGGGCGGCTTGGAAGTTCGGGGTCTATAGGGTTTACAACTTCCTAAGCCCTAAACCCCTTAATCCTCAACGCTAAACTTCGTGTATAGTGACGGCTGGTCGAATCTTGCTATGCTTTTTTGGGGCCGGCTTTTCGGTGAATGTACGGACATACGAAAGTCATACTAAATACTATTATATACTATATACGATAAACTTTGTAATATATATATATATATATTACTGTATTATACGATATACTATATACACTATACACTCTACACTGTATACGCTACACTACACTATATACTATACTATACGATGCCATACCATACAATTTATACTATACACAATACACGATACAATATTTTGTGCCGTTACATTACATGGAGCCATCAACTCTTGCATTGCAGGGTTCAACCGGAAGAACCCTTGGGTATCTGCTCTCGTCCTTCTTGGCCCATAGAGTTCATATTATTTCTCGTCTGTTCTGTGCTGGTCTAGTCCCGTCTAGTAGAATTTAGCATGTCATCATAGTGTCTTACTGTATGATGATCCATATACTATGTCCTGGTGACATGCTGCTGGCGGTTCGCAACATACTTAGCCGCAAGCCCGAAGTCCTAAGTTAGTATTGCTAAACCGAAGCTTTAAGTTGTGGATGATCGAATCCCTGTTTCTGCAACTGGGCTTGGGGACAGGCCATATCCTCGCATCGCGGCCTTTCGTGTTCAACCCCAACCCCCAACCTATAAGGTAAAAGCCAGAAAGTTGGAATATGGTTATCCTAAACCCTTTATGGTAAATTATAGGGTATCCTACCCTGAAACCATGTTCCAACTTTCTGGAGTTCCCTGTACTCTTTTGCGGGCCAGTCGCCCTAGCTTTCATGGCGGCTTTCTGCTGCTTCCGCCACTGCTTTGAGAGCCGACGCATCTGCAACCATGTGAGGATCGAGACAACGCCAATGATGGGGGTGATCAAAGCCTGGCAGCTCCGGGTTCGGAGTTTAGGCTTGGTTTGCAGTCACATGTAGGGTTCAAGGCTTATGAATGAAGGTCTTGGTCGTATTAATTTGGGCTTCGGGTTTAAGGTTTCCAGGGCCTCTAGGGTATTTTAAAGTGCGAGGGTTTGGTGATCAGAGCGTGGAGTTCCAGGGTCTCAGAGGAAGGGATGTGTATGCAGCGATGGTGCATACAGTTGTCGGCTTGTCTGTCGCATCTTACTCTTATTGCTCGTATGCAGAATTGTTTGCTGGTGCCGTTGCAAGCCGCCTTTGCAGCCGCCATAAACCCCGCCATTAAGCCTGGACCCTGAACTGAAAAGGGAACCCCTAAACACTAAAACCCCTAAATCCCTAAACCCTACACCCCTAAACCCCTTGACAAAACCGGACTACGGGCCTGGATCAGGCCCGGGGTCGACATACTGATCGGCCCAAAGCCCTGAAACATCTCCGAGCCAGCTTGATCGTCGTAGTAGTCTGTAAGCTCCAAGTTCAAGAGGAAGCCCAGTGCTATGGTGTATAGCCTTCGGAGCTGAACGCAGCGCAAGAAAGGTTAACCTTTTCGTTATGGCAGAGATTTATTCATCTCAAAAAGTTAAAGGTTGCCTTTGCAGCTCCTAAGTCTAAGTAACAAAGGCAGCCAGAATCT